ACAAAATATGATTACATACATCTGTCAAAAGATCGGAACTATAATTATTAGTTGTAATGATACCTAAGCTTTTGATGGGTTACATAGGTACTTCCAAGTTACTAACTTACCAAGTTCCAAGACGTACCCAATATAATTCAATCAACTTCCTACTTCCAACGCTCCAACTATATGCCGCCAATTCTCCGTATAATGTGGGTTATCAAAGAGAATGATAGAATGATCATCATATCGAATATTATCTCACCACGCCTGATACAGATCGAAACAGAGTACTAAATTCTAATCAGTGATCAATTGATTGACTTACCTTGTACTCTCGAATAGGCGTGTAATTTTTGATACTGTCGATCAATATTAGTTAACTGCTTAAATTACTACCTCAAAGCGATCTCATCTAGCGAATGTATAAATTATCGATACACCCGAGACCCGTTTCCACTAAATAATTCGAAGACGCCCAAGGAGTTATGGAGCGTTATAAAAGGCGTGTCAAAAACTTTTGGAATGATGCAAGCGATCTGGTAATTTGTAATTGATTGAAATATGGTGATACTTGCAAGACGTTGCTCTTGTAAGTTTGTAACTCGAAAGTAAGCACTAACTAGCTGTCAGTAGTAATTGTTGTAACTCTATCAGCTAGAGAAAATTAGCGCGAAACGGCGAGTCCTGACTCCTGTCTTGACTCCTATTATTTAAATATTATATATTCCAATTTCCAACTTCTTAGCCCAAAAATTTAGCGATACAATTGAAAGGGCGACCTACAGCTCGTATTTGTTCGTGTTTGCAAGCTTACATATTTCATGATTACACTACACCACTATTTCAAATCAAAATACACTTTCAAACTTCGAAGCAGTGCGCGCAGTAAAGTACTAGAAGTTAATAGAGTTATAGCTACGTCGTACTATGTTACAACTTACAACTTACAAGTTACAACTGACACCTGAATCCTGAATCCTGATACCAATTTCCAACCACGATCCACAGCTATACGTACTTTCGAATTAATTTTTTTAATTTTGGTGAGTGTGTGCTACGTACTTCCTAAACAGGGGAAATGAGCGCACTTTAAATTTACTTGGAAGTTGGAAGTTGGAAGGTTATACTTGGAAAGTTGGGAGTTGCAACTTGCAACTTGGGGCCATCAAATAAGCTACCGTCTTAATACCGTCTTACAAAAATCTCGACAGAAGAGTTTATGTCTGGAACTCGCATTAAAATTCATGAGCATGCAGATGATACATCAATGCACATATATGCGACACGCACATAAACGTGGAAATTGATGAAGTTCATGTAGAAAAAAAGTATATGCTCAAGAATGATACATGCTACAACGTTACAGCTGTACTCAGCTATTTTGAGTTTGGCCTTGAAAGTTTAAACATCTCTGCTTTAACCGTGATTAATACTTCGCTGGTAATGATTTTGACTCGAAATACCATTATTTTTTAGTTTTAAAAATACTGTAGCTCATCCACAATTAAACTTTCTTGATTTGATTTAACTTCTTGCAGCTCGCATATGAATAAAATACTTTAACCAGATTTCAGTTCGAGTATTTGCGGTCTTCAATCGCAGTTCATACTTTAGATCAAACCTTCAAACTTTGAAAAAGGAAAATCAATAGCATGTACACTTGTTTCAGTGCGTCAGCTGGAAGTCTTTTAGGAATTGAGCTTCTATCGGTCGCAGAACTATGTATATGTACCTTCTTCTAAAGAGCGAGCTTCAAAAATTATATATATATTTTAGAATCCACTTATATCCACATAACTAAATCGTTAACTATAGCTAAATATCAGACCTTGACTTTACAAACCAGTTCACTCACCAACGTACAACCAAAAGCTGTACACATAAATTCATTTTTCCATTAACTGTTCTTAAGTTTGAAACACAGTATTTGTTTAAAGTAAATGTATTAAAGATGCAGGCTCATACTTACTTCAATGATGGCTTTCAAATATATTATAATCCTCAACATCAAAACTATACACCAGGTCAACAACAGTTTTTTGAAAACCATAATTTTGTGGGGCTAGAGTCAACATCAGCCTATGAAAATGCTACTGCTCTCGAAGACTATAACACAAGTCAAACGATGGTGATGCAAAATATCAATGGTGATCCTAATATGAGCGCTCAAATGTTTCAATTCCAACAACAGCAAATTTATAACTCTCATCCTCAGCTAACTGGTAGCGAAGGTTATCACAATGCTTCATTAAGTTATCAAGAAGCTGCTCATGATTCCAGCTCTCAACATCAGTTAATGATGAACTTTAATAATGATTTTTCATCGCATCATGCCCAAAGCCAATTTGATTCATTTCCGATGATTTCTACAAATTTTGTCTCTGATCAACAAGCATATATAACCCCACCATTCTCTAATGAATTAGCTGAGCAAAACTACACTACAATTACTGGATCACAAGCTCAACAACAATTCCAATCACAAGTTTCAAATAAGCTTGTACCATTATCTGGATTTCCAACAATTGATACATTTAATAACGCTCCAATATCACCAATTGAAACCCCATTATCATCACCAACATCATCCAGCTTAGAAAGCTCACAAGTGAAGGCTATAGATTCCAACAAACCTCAACTAGCAACCCCAGTATCACCAAAGAAGCCAAAAATTGGGAGACGTCTAAGTTCACCAAAAATTAGCATTTCAAGCTCACGTCGTTCTTCGGTTCCAAATGCAAAAGTATTAAAACCAACAGTCAAAAGAGCTGCAACTACACCAACCTTACCTTCTACAGTAACCTCAAATCTTACACAACACACAACACAACCTGGTCCAATTCCAGCTACAAAACCAAAAATAGCAAAAGATCCTGTAACTGGGGAAGAACTTCTGATGTTTTCCTATTCTAAAAGAAAAATAATAAAGAATTTTTCAATAAAATGTCCAGGTGATCAACAAAAGCTTGAAAACATTTTATCTACTCTACCTCAAGAGTTTACATTAGAAAATTGTGTTTATCCAAGAGCAATGGGAACAGAAGAAGAATACAAAGGTAATAGATATAATTATGAAAAAGAATGTAATGAAATTGGATGGGGTCTTTCTTGGTTGAACCCTGAACTTAGAAACCACAGAGGACTAATCCAAAGAGCTGTTGATAGTTGGAGAAATACTAGACCAGACAAAAAGTTAAGATCCAGAAGAGTTAGAAAAAGTGAATTAAATGTGGATAAATAAGCTGATTTTAGAGCATTAATCCATATGATGTTTACTTTCATTAATGATATTGGGTTTCCAATTTATGATTAAAAGAAGATGTTGTTTTATATTGAAATATTATAAATATCATGACACTAAAATAACTAGAGACCCATTTGATATTTGATTTTTATAATTTAGATGTTTTTGTTTTTCAGTTCAAAAATTAATATAGATATCCTACTTTATAAGTCGAAAGGATAAATAGCATTAATATATATAGCTAGATGGTGATCTTAGCTATTTATTACCTTGAATATGTGAGCTGGCGCTGGAACGTTCGCAACTGCTTAATACATGTTCAGTAAAAAAAAGGTTTTATTTGAAGTGTAGTAATGTCATGAATGAGGAGGATAGAGAGTAAAACCAATATTCTTTTAAGCTTCGATTAAGGGCTATTCTTGCACAACTACTTCAAACGTTGAAGCGGCTGAGCTCAGTAGGCACTGAGCACTGACTCCTGAGCTGCCTAAAAGATCTTCAGCTAGCTGAAAGCACTATAACCTAGCATCAGCACCACTACTTCCCGGATAATTCTGGTGAAACCTATTTCCCGCCTATTCGAATTTCTTCTCAATAGTCATATCTATAACTCATAGTAGGCATAGGATCTGAATTGGTGAGTTTTATTTTAACTTCTAACATACAATTAAATTACGATACAACATCCACTTAATAGTATTAATATATAGTATACGGACATCTCCAGTATAAATTATAATTGCTATATATCAAGTTGAGAGGTTCTAGAAACGGTTCAAATTTGAATATAATTAAGCTTAATTGAAATATACGGATATTATGCTGCGTACTCATAATTTAACTTGAAGTCTGATTATTATTTTGGCTGCAAACTCTAAACTTAGGACTCCTATTAGCGACGCCCAGTCTTATAATGTAATATAATTTAGACATACGCCGTAGCCGTTAATTTGCATCTATTTGTTCTTTCTCATCGTGATAGTATTCTTGTTATACACCCGGCGTATTCTAAATTTAAATATTTACTTATATACCGATCAACCATTTATAATCTCGATTATACGTCCATTTGATCGTAAATTTAGATCTATAATATTATAACATTATAACTAGATATGCCTCGTAACGAATATAAGTGCTATTTTCTCATAGTATATATATGACCAATCTTAATCAAGCAGCTCCATCTTCATGATTCATGTCTCAAGAGCTATCAGATGCAAATTGTTTGTGGTTTCGAAGAGCTGAGGTGTTGATATTAAAAAAGGCTGAAGACGGTGATGAATCATTATTATAATTATGATGAACTTTGATATGGGTTCGGGACGTACCAAAGATAGCACATCTACTTACGATACAAGGGGAGCCGGAACGTACCATTATTTCGACACTAGATGGTACTAGGAAGTGAACATATTTACGAGCTGATAGTATTGTTTGCCTGCTCGATATCAGCTTAATTCATTATTATTAAGCTTATCTTACCAGAGAAGATTTTTGAACAATAGTGATTGTGAGTCGTGACGTGTCGAATAAAATATTATAATACTTTAATTTATTAATTAATCCACTAGTATACAATACAGTGCACGTTGACGTATCAGGTTATGGGCATCATATAATTAATTATAAGTTTGGTAAAATACTGATCAGTGAAACATATTAAGATACACAAATTCATAGACTGCAGTATACAAATCAAATATTATCGTAAGTTTGAACAAAATCACAACCAATCGAAAATTGTTAGCTCAATCAACTATTCTATAGAAGCTGTAAATTGAGTTTGATCATTAAATCAACATGTATCAGCTATCAATTATTTTTGAATAATGAAGTATTGCGATTATAATATACCGATATAATGGAGTTGAACCTAGATGCGTTAAATATAATTAGTATATATAGAAGACTATACTCAAGAATTATAGTGGTATAGTGGTATAGTATATTAATAGATCGTACAGTCGAGGCTTGATCTATAACATCAATTGTCATATTTTGAATTGCAGCGAGCTTAACTTAAAACAAAGAATCAATAATTACTATACATGTTAATACGTATATCAATATTGTATTTATAAAACCAATCGCCAAGTTTATGTAATTTCCCAATTACACGAGTATTATGATTTATCTAGACGTTAAATATTCATCAACAAGAGTAATTCGTTTTTAATTCAGGCTCTAATATTGAGCACGAACGAGATCGAAATCCTTGATTCTATAGATGTACCCCCTTCATTAAGAATATCACAATGCAGTAATACTATATATACAGCTCAAGCTTAACAGCATCCTACTGATATCAGCTTTCGAAACCCAAAGCTACTTGAAAGGTACCTAAAAGTTAAGATTCAAGAATCAAGATTCAAGAAGCCTTCAAAATTTAACGTCAACTTCGAAAGTCAAAAAATATCCGTCGAAGAAATTAAGAATGTATTTCAAGAAACAAAGTTTACCAAAAGAGTAAAATTCTACATCAAATCATGCAGATTATATGCGAGATACGTAAAACAGGCATCGTCAATCCGTCAAATACTGACAAGAATCAGCACAGCACACAGAATAACCACATATACATACATATGTGCTTAATCATATGTAAAGGTGTACCGTGTACGTATTTTAAAGCTTTGTTGAGACTTGAAGGGTGAAAGTAAAGATGGTAAAACGAACAATAGAATAATCAGCTCCGTATACAAGATATTTGATAGCGTAAAAATTATTCTGTATAATGCGAAAATCTGAATCCTAGGAAGCTGCTAGTGTCTGTGGAAGTTTTTAAGCCTCTACGGTAGCTACTGTACCACTGTACCGTTACAGTGGTATATTTCAATAATCATACCTTATACGCTGTCAAAGATCCTTAATTTGACAGATTTCAAAAGTTGTACACAGTACTATCTGTTACAGTCTACTAATTAATACCGTTCTATAGTACACTTGAAACTTCTATTCGATCTCATGATAATTCACTACGATATTTAAGAGTGCCAGATATATGCTTAAACTTTAAACCTGACAGAAGCTGTTTGATCATATGTTCGTTGTCAGTCTTGGAGCTAGCATTGAGCATCGAAGTCTTGTTGTAACGTTGTAACTTGTAACCCCCCTTGCCCTGACTCCTTGAACCGATTAGAGTTTATTAATTCAATACACCTATGACCTATGACCTATGACTACTGAATTCTAAAGCAACTAGGTCGACTAAATTCAGCTCCACAGTTTTAGATGACTATATAAGTTGAGTAGTAGAATCAGAATGTGTACCGAATCCTGATATATAGTTCAAAGTTAACTATGACAGGTAAATTGTGGGAGTATTTCGATTGAGCCGAACAAGTTACAGGTTCAGGAGACGTATAGATCATCTATACATTGATTCACAATTGATCGATCAAATTCAATTAAGTGATCGTATACTTGTACCAACTTAACCTGACAGCTTTGACTTTCTAATCACCTCCATAGCACATACTGTACATAGCTCATAAAAGCGTTGTACCTTTTTGGTTAGGAATCATAAAAGTTAGAATCCAGGAATCTGTAGAGTTACAACTGCTGGTTCGAGAGTCAATTGAATCCTATAAGTGATCGCTAATCAGTGTAATTAAAGTACTGGCAAAATGTAATTATTCAAAACCCAAGATCCAAGAAGCAAGGAGTCAAGATATCAAGACCAAGCCCTAGCCTCAAATCTACAAGTATATGATAGTTTGTTTGTTCTATATTTCTGGGTAGCGATGAGCTCAATCAAAGTGAACGCATGTTATATCCGAATTGAACATAAAGTCACACTTACGACTCACAACGTACATACAAGAATCAAATTTAAGAAAAGCTCTACCTATTTTGAAGGTGTGTTCAGTGTTTGATCAACAAAACATATGTATGAACTCTCTGGTACAAAAGATACATTTCTAGTATGTGATCATCATACGTACAAATTAATTCAAATCTTAAATTACAAAAAGATCTCAGCAAGAACTTGGAAGAGTCAAATATAATAGTGGCGTACGTACTTCATTACTAAAGCTGGTAGATCCTGAACACTCCAGTTTTCTACCAGCCGTATGTTAAACTTAGCGTACCATCTATCTAACTGAAGATCCAGTACTTCATTAAAATTTAGTTACTGCTCATCAACGTATGACTATATATGGACGACGGCGACGTGAGAAGTAGTAAGTAGTAAGTACTCATTACCAGTCGAATTAATAATAAAATTAGACTTTAAAGTTACGCGTTTGATCGATCAAGTATATTATTGAAGAAAGTACAAATATACAACCGTATCTCTCTAGATCATTGACGTTCATAATAAGCCTGGATCTGATCCATATTCTATGATTAACGCGTCGTATGTGACAAACGCCTTATAATATATTATTATATAGTATCACTACTAGTTACTATAAATATTTCATCTTATATAACAACTAGAGACTATTGGATTCATATACAGATGTTCCAATATACGAAATTAAAGCTCAATTTTAACGTTACAACTTAGTATATGCTAATGAATTTCATATATATATAAAGCTAATCATTAATTTAAAACAGGTAGGCGCGTATGTACAGTCTACTAATAATCAAAAATCAAAATCATATGAACGGCGGACCTGAATATTACAATTTACACCGCTTATACAGTGTTGAGCTGGCTATATAAAATTACTACGTAGATCAGTACCAGTTGTACAGCGAAGAACATTTCTAATTTGTACAGCTTGGAATGGTATGATCGTATGACATGAAAATATTATAGCTATGGAGTATAGACGTACCAATTATGTATCACCTAGCGTTATGAGAAGATCTCAAAAGTTTTTGAATGAATTATCAATGATATACTAAGTACACATATTTGCAATATACATCGACGCAGTGGGGTGCGCAATATAGTAGTTGATTCACATATATGGATTAAATCATCAGCACGTACCGCCATCCAATTCAAAGCCATGGGCAATGGACATACTGATACAATTGAATAATTGTAATCACCAAGAAATCAATTAATTCTATTATATTAATTAATTACAAAACAATAACTATATATGATATGACTAAAGCTTATAAAGATAAAATATATGAACCTATTCAAGAGTTCAAATAAGAAAAAGAGAAAGAAAATAGTAAACCAAATTAAAATTAAATTAATGCACAACTTTATAATTCACCAATTAAAAGAAATATCCTTCATTCTTCTATTCAAAACATTTTATATATATTATAAAAAAAAGTAAGGGTAGATTCACATAAAAACAAAAACACAAAACAAAAACAATTGAAACAATTATAATCATTTATCATTATATAATATTCCATTCACAAATTTATTCATTATTAATTAAAAAGTGGTATTCTCAAAAATGCTTTATATGGAAAATTTTTATAATGAAGAGTATAAAGAATTGAAATTATTGAATAAGCAAAAAAAATACTTATTCAACAGTAACTGATTTAGCCAAGTTACGTGGGAAATCAACATCAATACCTCTGTTAACAGCTAACCAATATGAAATCAATTGTAATGGAATAACATTCAATAAACCTTGTAAACAATCAACACTTAATGGGACTTCTAAAGTAGCTAAAGCTTTATCAGTGTTGATTGATTTATCATCAGTGTTATGGATAATAATTGGACGACCAGATCTTGCTGTAACTTGTTCAATTGATGACATAACTTTTGGGAATAATGAATCTCTTGTTGCAAATGCAATAATTGGTAATTGATCATCAACTAAAGCTAAAACACCATGTTTCAATTCACCAGCTAAAACACCTTCAGAATGCATGTAAGAAATTTCTTTAATTTTCAAAGCACCTTCTAAAGCTGAAGCAAATTGATAACCTCTACCTAATAATAATAATGATTTTTGTTGAGCTAATTCACTTGTACATAAATCTTTAATTTTAGATTCTAAAGTTAAAACAGTTTTAATTTGTTCTGGAATTTGTTTTAAACCATCAATAATTTCATGACGACGGTTAATTTTGGAAACACGATCATCTGATAAAGATAAAGCAATCATAACTAATGCAATATATTGTGAAGTATAAGCTTTAGTTGAAGCAACACCAATTTCTGGACCAGCATTAATATGAACACCACAATGAGTAGCACGAGAAATTGAAGAACCAACACTGTTAACAACACCAACAGTTAAAGCATCTCTTTCTAAACAATATTGTAATGCCAACATTGAATCAGCAGTTTCACCAGATTGAGAAACGAAAATACATGTATCATCTCTGAAAACTGGAGATCTTCTATCTAAGAAATCTGAAGCTAATTCAACACTAACTGGAATTTCAGTTAATTCTTCAAAAATTGATCTTGTAGCTAAACATGAATGATATGAAGTACCACATGCAATCATAATGATTCTTCTACATCTTCTAATGGTAGTTAACCATTTTTGTAACCCACCTAATTTAACAATATGATTATCAAAATCAATACGACCTCTCATAGTGTTAAAAGTTGATTCTGGTTGTTCATAAATTTCCTTTTGCATGAAATGAGAGAATGGACCTTTCATAATTTGAGCTAATTCCATTTCTAAAGTTTGAATTGATCTTGTAGCTGAAATACCAGCTTCTCTTGTAGCTCTATGGATATGTAATTCACCATCATAAATATGAGCAATATCATCATCTTCTAAGAATAAAACTTTTTTGGTATGTTGGATAACAGAAGCTGGATCAGATGAAAGGAAAAATTCAGCTGGTTGAGGAATACCATCTTCAGATAAGAAAGCTCTTGATTGAGAGTGACGTAAACCAGAATCACCTTGAGCAACTGGTAATAAACCACCATTTTGATGAGTGTTACCATTGATTGGAGCTTCATTGTTTGGTAATTCATCTGGGAATTCAACATCAACGAAATCAACTTTTAATTTTTTTTCAGTTTTAACACCAACTAATAATGGAGAACCTTTTCTTGTAGCAACAACTTCATTTGGATAATGAGATGATTTAACTAATAAACCATAAGAACCATCAATTTCATATAAAACTTGTTTCATTAATTCATTAAAATCTGGTTCATTACCATTTTTGATATTAGTATCATAGATATGTTTAAATAATTTGGCGATACATTCAGTATCAGTATCACTTTCAAAAGTGTAACCTTTTTGTTTCAAAAGAGTTTTCAATTCTCTATAATTGGTGATGATACCGTTATGGACAATAACGAATTCATTGTTGATATCAGATCTATGAGGATGACAATTAACAGTTTTTGGTTCACCATGAGTAGCCCATCTTGTATGAGCAATACCAGCGTGATTAACAAAAGTGGCAGTTCTATCCAGGTTTTGTGATTCAACTTCTTTTTTCAAAGCACCAACTTTACCAATTTGTTTAAAGATCAAAGTTTCATCAGCTTTATCACCATCAATTGCAATACCAGCTGAATCATAACCTCTATATTCTAATCTTTGTAAACCTTCAATTAAAGTATCAGAGATATCACCTCTAGTTTTTTCCACTAGGTAGTTAACGTAACCGAAAATACCACACATCTTGTAATGATTATGACTTTATTATTGAATATAAAAACTTCACTTCCTTTTTTTATAATAGAAAACGTTGATAAATCAAAGGCTAAAAAAAACTTTTTCCTCTTTTTGCAAAAAAAATTGATCTAAAACAAATGTCAATGAGAATGTAGATAGACTTGGATTTGCAAAGAACTAAACAGAAATATGAGCAGAGTTCTAAAAAGCGATTGTTTGATAGATATAAATAAGTTTAAATCTTTGAATTGTTGAAAACTTGTCCAGTTTGAAATTCAGAAATCCAGATTTTTGTTTTTTGTTTTGATTTTTTTTTTTTATTTTGAATTTGTGTCTGTGCGCAAATGCAAAACAAGAATTAAAAGAGTTTGTCGAGTGTTTGAAGGACAATTAAGCAGTAATCGTGTGATTTTTGGATTTGAAGAGAAGTGTAGTTGTAGAGTAGAGGATTTAGGGATACTCTCAGTGTTTTATACGATTTCAAAGCGTTGAAATCCGTCTGTTTTTGTTGATTTTGTTCTATTTTGGTTTCTTATTTTTCTAGATTCAAAACATGCGCAAATTGGCAGCCGGGCATTTTTGACAGAAATTTCGTTAATTTTATAGGGCGAAAAAGGGATTAAATAACTGGGAAAAGCTGGTTTAAGCTGGATAAAAAGTATATAGGTTTGATCCGGTGGATTTATAGATAATTCTACCAGCTTTCCCCTTATAATTATCTCAACATAGACACTAGTTGTGTTATCCAAGTAGTTAATTTCTGCGCATCCAATATATCCCAAAAGGGAAATTACAAAACACAAAGCCATTTTGCGAAAAAAAAATTGATTAATTAAAATTTAACACGCGTTGGAAATTGGGAAAATTCAGGCAGAAATACTTGGAATTTGGTGGGAAAGTTACGCACAGTTTTCCTTGTAATATATTTGAATTTTGTTACCTGTTGCCTGCTTAGGAATATAAGACACTCGAATCTGATTCATCTATTCTCGTTCTAATTTCCATCTGTTCCCGATGCGTTTTAGATCTTTAATACCCACGGGCTATTAATAGATCGTTAATTAATAATTGGTAGCTTCTTCGGCATAGAAACAAGACCCTGAGTACATACTTCACAGTAAACATAAACTATTGACACGAAGGCTTCCACCGTGGATGAGTTTCAACTTTCAACTTTCCACGTATTTACAAGTTTACCTTTTGAGTTGATTTGATCATATAACATATAACCGTTAAAGGACTTTCTCGATGAAACGCGTTGATCATCTTTTAACAATGCCACCACAAAAAATTCTTGGTTTAGAATTTAGTGTATAACGCGTATAACGTCGTCAGTGTATGTTAAGCTGCTTAAATACATAGTAGTATAACGCCTCAGCTTGATGATAAATCTTATAACGTCCTCTTTGTGAGAATTTGCCCTAATTTGTTCTACGACGTATTTAAATAATTAAGTAACCTTGACGACCCTATATGCTTTAAGATGGAATTCTCTAATGCATTTACTCGAATTATATTTGGTGATATGGAATGAACGTTTGATTGAAACTTGAAACCAAACGAATAAAAATGACGTTAGTTAACAGTTACACACAACTGGACGCACCAATTAGCTTAAAGATAGAATAACAAATAAGCTTAAATCTCCAACCGCTTAGAATGGTATAATATTTACATATCAAAAGAATATAATTAACACCGAGTATTTGTTGGTTGAGGATTTAGCTTCGATTCGACAAATAACTATGACAAAGTCGCCACCACGAGAGTCTCACGACTAGTCAATTATGGCATGTCGAATCTGTCAGATTTCATCAACGTCAGGAGTCAGGACTTGAATGAATATAAAAAATAGAGTTGATTCGTGCCTGCTCAACATTCTCCATCTTAAGATAGATCTCCTTTGGTGTCGTATGCTATACGCTATATGAACAGAAAGGAGTCACTAAGTCACTCAACTGGCACCGGAGAAACACAAAAGGAACACATACATTTAAATTCTAAACAGCATAATTAACCAAATCATTCTACCTCAGTACTTCACCAAGTGATCCAGATTCCATATATCTAGATTCTATACTTAATCAAATTAAGCTTATATAAGCTCAAGATCTATTAAGTCGCTGTCAAGAAACTGAGTGGTGAAAATAAGGTGTGCAGTAACCAGATATAATACTACTGAATGTATAGTATAGGCTGAATTCTCTCACAACGACTTGATCATTGACCCAGATTATTGGGAGCCAAAAGGTGGAAATGTATGTATATTTATATTCATAATTCATAGATTGCTGTTCAGAATAAGGTTCATATATAATGACTATTCTCCTCTTCTTCATGGTTATTAATCGGATTATAATGTAACATCATTGAACCGATGATGTGTACTTAACACGCCCCCCCTTGAGTTGATAAATGTAATTAAGGGTTTGTTGATGAATTAGCATTGATTTCATTTGCAACTCATGATATGAAGATTTTTGTAAACATAATTTGAATAATTCAAGCCAACTAAAAAATCAAAAAAAAATTGTTAATTATAATGTATACTCACTGGGCAAGGGAAAAAATAAATGAATCAAAAACCCTTTTGTACAGAGAAACGTTATAAAAGAAAACTCTAGTGTGAAGAGGAAAACCACATCTTACTGGCCAGGTAATCAGTGATGAAAAACCTCTAAAATGAAAATGGAAAAATGAAGAAATATAAGATGGAAGGGTGAGAATTTGCAGTGTTCAAAAATATGAATGCAAGTTGGGCAAATCTCTGAAATCTGTATCACAACAAACCACGTCTGGAGAGTGTAACCAGTTGATAGGTTCAATAACCATGAAATCACAGTCAAATTTAATTTGAACAAGTTAGGTGAAGTCACGTAAGGAACAATTTTAAATGTGAGTATTCTAGGGGGTCTAGAAATTGTTAACATATTGTGCAATGGACCGGTCCTGATGTAAAATAAGTGATGGTGTGTCAATGTGTGGACTCATTAACATGTAATAATCAAACACTAACAAGTGATGATATTGTGTGTTAAACAACTTCTGAGAAGTGTTCAAATGTGAATGAATAATTGTATCAGTATGGATGAATCCAATACATGGTGTGATTTCAAATTTTTGTGACATTGTATGACCAATGATATGTTTCTGGTGTGTAAATTGGGTAATGGTAATGTGGACAAACGTTAAAATTTGTTTGAATGTACTATAAATCACGATTAAAATAATGTGAAAAATGTGTAGTATGGAAATACATGTTGTACATGAAACTTGAAAATTTGTATTAATGGTGTAACAGATGATTTTTGTGCTTATAATAATTAGTTATTGTTCAAATATTGATTATATTTTTCTGGTAATTTAGTTTTAAATTGTAAATGATAAGAATTGCCCAATAAATTGTTCATCATTTGATTGTATTTAGAAGTATTTGTAACCTTAGTAAAAACATCAGCCTTATTATTAGCTGAATCAATTTTTTGAACTATCAACTCTCCATTTTGTACTTTACTCATAATAGATAACAACTTTTGTTGGAATTCTCCAAAATAAGAATATTTGAAAGTGTTAAATTTTGGGTTAATTGCATCAATCAATGGCTTATTATCACAGAACACGATAGGAACCAACGTATTAATGTTCATAGATAGGAGTTGTTCTTGCACCATCAATGTTGTTTGTACAGCTGTAAATAATGCAAGTAATTCAGCTGATGAAGTTGAAATTGTGGATTGTGTAAGACGTGTTGTTTGAACATCAATTATTGAATCTTGAATCATTATAATATGTGCAGCATAACTATCACTGTCTTTACTAAAACTGGCATCTGAGTATGTGGTTATTTGTATTGGAATAGTTGGATTTCTAAATAATGGGTTCTTGTAAAGCAAATATGATTGACTGGAATTATAAAGATATCTAAGTATCACATACTGTTCTTCAAGAACAAGGAGATTTTGGTTTATATTATATCTTGAAGTGATAGATAATGGCAATTTGATATCAAATCTATTTTTGGAAACTAAGTAACTGAAAAAACCATTGATTTTGTAAATGAGTTTATTATCATCTAAATTTTTTATTGGGAAAGTTGGAGATACAAGTGCATTGGCTATTTCTGTATCAACCAAATTAACTTGTTTATTTGGGGGTTTGGCAAGGAAATTGGCATTTTTGGAAAAAGGAGAAAATAATGGATTTTGAATAATGAACTCTGAATGAGGTAAATTCTCTATGTATTGAGTTATGTAGTTTCCCATTGAAACTTTCAAACTTTCATCTGATTCATTTGGATCTAGTTCATGACCAATGAAATAATATGGTGAAACATCGGAATTAAGTTCAACTTTTTCATTTTGGAGATCTTTAAATACCTGATTTCTTTCCACTTTATTACCACCTGAAAATAGATCGTCAACATATTGAGCAGATGTGTTAACGTTTTTGTTAAAAGCATTGGTTTGAACATGTACACAAGGGTCATCTGTTGGTTGAAAGTGGAGTTTATTGATAAATTTGTCCTTAAGGAAATTGTAAAATTGTAAACCACTTTGAGTTAAACCATAAGCAGCTTTTTGAACTTGTAAATAGTTTGAATTAAAGTCATTTCTAAAAGCTCTTGGAGTTTTGATAACGAATATTTTATCAGTTTGTATACTAGCATGGAGATAAGCGTTTGATATATCACCTAATGAATAGTTGGAGGTATAAATTGCAAATAAAAGCTTCATAGTTAATTCTCTTATAGTAGGAGATGAAAATTCCTTATTTTGATACTGTGATTTATCCTGACAAACAATAAACCTTGCCTTTTCTTTACCCGATGGTTGTTTAATATTAAAACGCCAGAAAGAACGTAATTGAGCATATTTGGCTTTGTTTGTAAAGAAATCCGGTGGTAATGAAATTGGTTTGAAAGCTGATCTTGACAGGAATTTAGCTTTTTCATTAGTAATGGCTTTAATCCAAATTTCATCAGTTTCAGCTTCTTTGTAGCTTGAAGGTACAAATGGTTTAGTGGTACTCAAAGCATTGAATAATTGATTGATGTCTATCTTTATTTCATCAGCTTGTTCCAATAAGTTTTCTGGAGTTGATATAATTGAAGCATATTGTCTAGATAAATTTGGATCCAATTCTTTCACATCTAAATCTTTAACTAATGTAATTTCTTTTTGCTCATATGTTGGAGGTATAGTATAAGTTTCATGAAGTAAATTTTGAAGTTTCAAATTTTCTTGCAATTTTGATAAAAGACCCTGTTGTATGTGTGATATTAAGATTTCTTGTTGTTTAAAACTGTTGAAAATTTTAATAATGTTATGGCCTTCAATACTTGTAATCTGCCAAGATGGAGACTGGATAAACAAATGCTTCTGGGTAGTTAAACTAAGACCCATATAAATTGCCAAAGATCTGGAATTATGTTTTTGATTGATAATTAGAACATCTTGTCCCAACAAAGGTATGCCGTTCTGCAATTGATATGAATTTTTAAAAAGTTGCATCATTGGGGTGGGATTTTTTGAATAATCATTAGGGAGCAATGAACTATGGGGACGGATGTTAAGCATATTTGTAGAATGAGCAATTGTGTAGTTGTAGAAATATGGTTGTAATTCTTTGGATATGTAGATTTGATTAATTAAAAGCATCTTTTTCAAAGTCTGATTCACTCGTTCTATCAAACCATCATGTGTACCTGGGCTTGTTTTCTCCATTTTATAATGCTTTTCAAGTTTAGAAAATTCAGTTCCAGAATCAGAATAAAGCTTATCAACTCTAAAAGGAAGTTTTTTCAATAATTCAAGAGTAATATTGTGGATGTTATCCTTCTTTGAAGTTGAACAACTGAATAAATATCTTGAATGACGATGTATAATGGTAACAATGTATATCTGTTTGTTGTTCCACTTGTGAAATAGAGTGTCTAGATGAAGTTCGTTAAAATATTGAGAACTTTCTGTTAAATGATGTTTTGGAACTGGGTTTCCGGCTCTTATGGCAGCACAAACCGGGCAGGAACGAATCAGTAATTCAGCTTGTTTGTCAATATGATACCCCATCTTTCTCATCATTGTAACACTTGGATGAGCCCACACATAATGAAGTTCAAATAACCTATTCTGGAGATTGGACAAATCTATATTATCTGCATTAATTTCAGTTGTAGTAATCTTGTTAATGAGATGTATTTGTTTCATTGTTTCTTTTTCAGTATCTGGTATAAGGTAAAAGTGTTCTTTATTGAAAACAGCAGTAAAATTAGCATCAAGAAGATCCTTTAAGCACAATAGATTATTTGCATTATCTTTATAATAACATTTGATGTTATTACCCATAATATTTAGTATACCTGAATGATCCAACTGATATTGACTATTATCTGCTAATGTGACTGTGGTATAATCTGGCTGAACGTTTTGTAGAATAACAGGGTTTCTACTTGTGGAAATATTCGCACCTGAATCAATAATGAAGGAGGTACTCGACTCAGAATCTTCTACTTGATGTAAATAAAATTCAGTACCTTGTGTATTGTTATTGTTGGTTTCATTAGCAGCTGATGTTGGATTCAATAGATGTAGTTCTGGAACATGGGTATCATTATTATAACTTCCTTTGTAAACCGGTATTGTTGAATTTCCCAGATTCTGATTAACCAGTTGTAATCTTTTAACCACATTGGGACCGTCTTGACTAATTTGTTGGTTTAAACGTTTTGGTGCTTGTTGTGGTTCAATACGAGCAGCTGATTGATTGTTGTAGTTTTGATATTGGTTTTGATAATGTTGTGATACCATGTTTGATATGAAGTTTAATTCAGCTTGAATAACATTGTAGTAACCATTTGGCATAAACAAACAGATTTCTTTCAAATATTTAGCAAAGAATCTTTTGTTTATTTGTTTACTCTTATTGTGAAGTGGGTGCTCATTGGCAAAATGTGGTAATCCACATCCGTAACACCAGCGATATGATTTGTTGATGTTCCAATGTATGTTTGATATCTCTAGTGTATGTAGATTTTTGTGCAGATGAAATGACTCGACCACTATAATTGGATGGTAACATCGAATTGATTAACTTGATGTTTTGTAGATTAGTTAATAAATTGGATGGGGATGTTTGCTCTCTTTGTACGGTGCGAAGAAATTCATTAATCTTCAATCTACCGTGTTCTTCGAATGTTGATCTCAAAAATTTAGTTAACACCTTATCCGTATTGGAATACAGACGACTGTGAGTAATTATAATAAACAACGTAAATGCAGATTCAATTGCTTCGTGTAGTTCTTCACCTTGATATCTTGATTTGACCTTCTTCATCTCAGTATTAACGTGTTGTAAAACCTTTTCAAAAGTTGGTGGAAGTGTTGGTGGTAATGTAGTTAAATTATTAGCAGTATTAATATGGTCATGAACCATATTTGGTGCCTCATATTGAGTAATGAATCTGAGTAGTTGTTGTGGTGTGGCTGGATTGGTGTTGATGTTGATGTTTTCATTGGTGTGACCTGCTTCTCTAATTGAGAGAACTAATGACCGTAAATTGAATTTATCAACAAGAAGTTCTGTAAACTTTTGATGTATAATCTCATAAGCATTGTTAAATAATTCAAACTTGTCTTCATCATTTATACCAGGAGGCAAAATATAATGTGGAATTGGAGCTGGAATAATTTGACTGTTATCGGCATTGATATTAATGTTATCATTTGTAAAAGCATATTTTAATGAGTTAGATAATAACATGTGATGATCTTCTTGAAAGAAGTTTGACAAGTTGTTGGCATGATTCTTAACATCAAGTGTAGGTAAATTTCTATCTTGAATCTTGAATGGAATGACAGCAGGGGATGAAATAATATTTTGAAATTGTTGTTCCAGTTCTACTTTGAGATCTCTAAAAATTTCAGCACGATCAAAGTTAATATTGTTGTTGTTGTTGTTGTTGTTTCTTCCTCTAGCCATATTGAATTATTTGATTTTATTGGTTGTTGTTGAAAAACTCTAGTTGATCAATTGAACCAAGTTAACTCTCAAGCTATTAAAGGCTTTTAACCTATTAAGTCGCTGTCAAGAAACTGAGTGGTGAAAATAAGGTGTGCAGTAACCAGATATAATACTACTGAATGTATAGTATAGGCTGAATTCTCTCACAACGACTTGATCATTGACCCAGATTATTGGGAGCCAAAAGGTGAAAATGTATGTATATTTATATTCATAATTCATAGATTGCTGTTCAGAATAAGGTTCATATATAATGACTATTCTCCTCTTCTTCATGGTTATTAATCGGATTATAATGTAACATCATTGAACCGATGATGTGTACTTAACAAGATCTTTGCAAAACAGATTCGCGCAAGATCTGGAGATTTCAATTTTCTGACATAAGCGAAATGTGAGTAAAATTGATTTTTATATACTACTCAGCAAATTTATATAAGGTTGAAACTTTTGATTAGCTTTATCTTCAAAAGATTCACAAAAAAATGATGCTACAGAATATACTATCGAGACAGATACGGATACCTTTACGTACAAATACATTCATACCAAGATTATTTTCCACCAATATTCCAAAATTCAATAATAGTACCAATTCCAATTTTAACAACTTCTCTAAAACTCCAAAGACTAGTAGAAATACAACTTCACAAAGCTTTAGAAAAGCTAAAAGAAATGCACAGAATAAGTACAAGTATAATAATGATTCATCAAAGAGATCAAACTTTATAGAAGAATTGAAAAATCAACAAACTATTCAACCATGTACTACATTTACCACTTCAGAATCTTATGATTTTGATAAAATGTTGAAATCTTTCAATAATGGAATACAATTATCAGTTATCGTACCTAATGAAATCTTGTATTTCAAATTTGAGAAAACTCATGATGTATTCATATTGATTGATGGTTCAGTTGTTGTTTGGGGGATGGATGAATCAAATGTTGAAAAAAAAATTTTACCATTATTTAAAAAATTTGAAAAATCAAGTTATGAAAATCCAGAATCTGAAGATATGGATTATATTGAAACAAAAGATCTTCATGATGAACAAAATTCTTATCTTGAAGAAGATATCATTGTTATAAATTCCTTAGATAAAGATCAAGATTTATTAGATAAAGCTGCTTTCTCATCAGGTCTTTCAAGATCAACAAGATTAGCAATTTTAGAAAATTCATTAGAAAGACATATTTTACAAACTAGAAAAATGTCTGAACATTTATCTATTGGTAAAAAATTAACTGTAACTGAAAAAGAATTACTTAGATCAACTGGTCGATTATTTTTATTAAGAGGTAAATTAAATTTATATTCAGAATTAATTGGAATTCCAGATTTATATTGGAGTGAACCAAATTTAGAAAAAATTTATAGACAAATTTCAAATAATCTTGATATATCACAAAGAATTTCAATATTAAACAAGAAATTAGATTATGCAACTGAAGAATCAAGAGCTTTAATGAGTACATTAAATGAAGAAAAATCAACAAGATTAGAATGGATTATTATTTATTTGATCATGATTGAAGTTTGTTTTGAAATTTTCCATTTTTATGAAAGATATAGTGATTATAAAGAGAAATAAAGTACAAAGTACCATCATGATACCATATGATCAAGACGTATATAGCAAATTAGGTTCATATATATAGCAATGCAAACTGAGTACCTAAACTCTCACGAGTATAGACATTATATAGTTGATATTAAAAATAGACATAATAGAGTTAATCATAAATATGTAACTTCAATTGTCACTTTATCACCATCGATAACTTTGATTTTTGTTAAATCTTCAACAACATATGAAGCACCTGCATCATACAATAATTTTGAATCTTTACCACTATTAACACCAATAACAGTAGCACCTGAAGCAACACCAGCTTTAACACCTAATGGAGCATCTTCAAAAACAATTTTTTTACTTTCACCACTTAAACCTAAGTTTTCTCTTAATAATTTTTCACCTTTCAAATAACCTTCTGGATTTGGTTTACCTACTGAAACCGATTCAGCTGTGATGAATACATTTGGTTTTTGAACAGTTTGCAAAATACCATCAAACCATCTCTTAGCAATATAATCACTACCTGAAGTAACAATACACCATTTATCTTTATTCAAAGAGTTCAATAACTCAATAGTACCAGGTATAACTTCAACTAAATGACCATAAGTATCAGGAATATCTCTTTCAAATTGATTAGCAGCATCTGAAGTTGAACTATCAAGCATTGGAAAAAACTTTGCGAAAACTTCTGTAGTTCTAGCACCATGAGCACCATCGATGACTTTAACTGGATCTAAACCATGTTTAATAGCCAAATCAGTCCAAAGTTTCTCCACCACATCTCTGGTGTATACTAAAGTACCATCGAGATCAAACTCAATAACATCTGCTTCTAGTGTGATTGTTTTGCTCATAATTTTGAAAGTCTATATGTTCTATAATCTAATGATCCAACTCTATGTTCTGTTTATAGCGTACATGAACGGAGTTTGGAAAATGGTGAACTAAACAACTATATATATATATATACGTTTACTAATACGGTATACCCCTATTCTCCATGATCAATCACAAGCTAATGGTCATCGGTGAATCGTGAGTCGTGATACGTGTCTAAAAGTAATCATTTTATAGCCTATGCGCCTATATTGGTAATTGTAGGCTAATTTGAGACCGAAATAGGAAACATGCTATCATGGGATCATGCGGGACTCAAGTTGTGTCATGTATAACGGTGATTTGCAGAAAATTTATTCTTTGGTCTTTAGAATATTTAGGAAATTAAGCTTAAAAGAGTGAATATTGATAAGAGAAAAATAGGTAATTGATTCGATCTGAGCTATAGATCAACAGCTTGTTCATATGTTCTTTAGCCATCGTAAGTAGATTTAAAGTTAATGGGTGGATCATGATTTGGCCATATCTAAGTAGTAACTAGCCATGAATTTGAACAGAAGAAAGTATATACTGGATCATAGTATACCGGAGGAAGATGCCACTTGAAACTCGTCACTGATATATAAGGCTGATATCCAGATCGAACCAGATTAATGTACAGAAAGCTATCGTAAACTTCATTCATTACAAAGATACATACAGAACTTAATCATATCTAACCTCCAATGATACTTTATTAGCATCCAAAACTTTGATATCAGTTAGATCTTTCACAACATATGAAGCACCAGATTCATACAATAATTTAGCATTGTTCCCGCTATTTACACCAATAACTATAGCACCTGATGCAACACCAGCTTTAACTCCCATTGGGGCATCTTCAAAAACGATTTTCTTGTGTTCACTTGTTATTCCCAAACTTTCACTCAAGATCTTATCTCCCTTTAGATAACCTTCTGGATCTGGTTTACCATTTGTAACTAATTCAGCTGTTATGAAAACTTTTGGTTTCTGTACATCTTTTAAGATCCCATTGAACCAACTATTTGCAATATAATTACTTCCTGAAGTGACAATACACCATCTATCTTTATCTATACCATTTAATAACTCGATTGTTCCTGGAATGATCTTGACCAAATGTCCATAGTTATCAGGTATATCCTTTTCAAATTTTTCAACAGCTTTATTATCGGTGTTATCAATCATTGGGAAATATTTAGCAAATGTTTCTGACGTTCTAGCTCCATGTGAATCATTCAAAACAGTATGAGGATCAACCCCATGTTGAATAGCCAATTCTGACCAAAGTTTTTCAACAACAGATGTGGTATAGACTAATGTTCCATCAAGATCAAATTCAATGATGTCTGCATCGAGTGTGATTGATTTGCTCATAATGATTATTCTTCTGCCTAACAAAGGAACACCTATATGCTTGAACCTGTATACGATCTAATACTGAAAGACTAATATTTAATGCATTTCCAAAAAACCATGAGCTGATGTATTTTTAATTACACGTCCACTAAAAAATTGTAGTAAATATTCTGTCGACTCCAGTAATTATAGCTCACCCAATTTGTCGATGCGCCGCTACTCTTCCCATTTCGTAAGTGCGCCGCTACCCAATTAGGACAAACATCGGCTTAATTTTTTTAAAATCACAGGTCTAATACAACAATATTAGTCTAACAGACTTCAAAAATGATGCTCAATAAATAGATTTATGGGATATTTAATAAAAACCTGCTGAAACCAAGTTATTAACCGTTATTAATGTTGTAGAGTTTTCTTTTTTTGAGCTGTTCTCCAGATTTTGTAGATCGATCTAAATCTGATTACGTCAGCGAAACAGCGAGACTTATGTAAGCAAATAAGAGCCGTGGTTGTTCAGCAGATAAAAAAACTCAAAAAAGGCAACTTGGCCGAGTGGTTAAGGCGAAAGATTAGAAATCTTTTGGGTTTACCCGCGCAGGTTCGAATCCTGCAGTTGTCGCCATTTTCTTTTTTTTGCTTCAAGTCCGGGAAAATCAAGTTAAATAGCATGAAATTATTGCCATAACTACTCTAAAGTATTGACATATCATAATGTTTATTCATATTTTGTTATGTTTTATTATATTTTGTTATTTTTTAGTTGTTTTGATGAAATTTGATTAGGAAATAAAAATTCCGAGCCCAGCCCGAACCATAATTGTTCAACAACGAAAGATATAGGTTACCTTTATCTAGTCAATGATAGAATTCAGTCACAAACACAGCTTCACAAATCACCGAATGATTTGTTCACCCCTTGCCAGTATTTGAAGAAACCATTAAAGAATTTAATACCAAGACCAACATCTTTAACACCGATTGCAGCTCTTATACTATGCATTGATAATTGAGAAATACCTAAATCAACAGTTCTTGCACCAGTATGACTTGAAATGTAAGGACCAATTGTACCACCAGATCTTGCACCATTCTTGATGTGGAATCTTTGTAATTCATCACCATTCAATTCTGCAATTTGTTCAACAATAGATAACCCAACTGAATCAGTAACCATATGACCATTTGGATCAAGTGATAGTGTGATACCTTTGTTTGGAACTGGATAATGATTCTCCAAATATTCACCTTTATAAGTTGGGTTTAATAAATGATTGACATCTGCTGAAAGTAATAAAGTATTTGCAAATGCAACTTTAGTTAAATTACCAACACTAGCAGAAGTATTATTACTTTCAATGTATTTTTGAATAACATTTTCAGTAAGTGTATTGATTAAGTTACTTTGAGCACCTTGTCTTGTGTTTGAACCAACTTCTTCATTATCATATAACAAGACTTGACTAAATGAACCTTCTGGAATACCTTCCTTGAAAGATTCAACTAATGAATGAATTGCAGCAAATGAACAAACTCTATCATCAATTCTTGGGGCGTAAATAAAATCATCTCTTAATCCACCTTTAGTACCTGGTTGAACATCAAATAAATCTAGATCCAATTGAACAATATCTTTAACTGAAACTTCAGCCAATTCAGCAATGAATCTTAATAATTCTAATGGATGCTTATCAATAACTGGTGATTTCTTTTCATCTTTAGTTGGCTCAGCATCAGGACCTGGATTGAATCCAATAACTGGAATAGCTTTAGTTTCTTTATCATAAGGTGGAGCTGCAACTTGACCGAAATGTTCAGCTAAAGTTGAAATTCTTGCAATTGGTTTTGGTGCAGAACTGACCAATTTAGAAATGACTTTAAACCCAGTAGTAGATTCTTTATCTTCAACTCTAACAAGAACTCTACCACCGATACCAAGATCTCTATCAAACCAAGCTGGTGATAAACCACCTGCGTAATTTGCAACACCTAATAATTCATAACCATCAACTTTTTCCTTCTTGGAAACTGGTTTTAATTTAGCAGTTAGGGCATCAATATGTGAACCAATAATACCAATACCATTTTCTGGTTTCCAATTCTCACCAACTGCAAAAGCACCAACATTTGTACCATTTCTAATTGTATAGTATAAACCTTCAGATTTTAATGAACCTTCCCAGTTTTCCTTTTCAGATAAGTATTTAAATCCATTAGCTTCGAGTAATTTGGCAAAGTATTGGACAACATGATAAGTAGTTGGATTTTGCTTTGTGAATTCAATATAAGCATCTGCATATGTTAAATAAAAGTCATCGTTGTATGTAATAGCATTTTTAGATTTCTTCAATGATGATGGAGCAATTGAGTTCTTTTTAATTGGAACTTTAACATCTTCATATTCATCAGGAGTTGAATCCTCCTCGTAATCTTCTTCACTATCTGAATCGAATTGAACAGAACGAATTTGTTTCTTGTTTCTTTGTTGAGATTTGTTGGTCTTTTCAGTTTTTGCCTTCGAGGATGATGATGATGATGACCCTGGTGATGTACCAAAAGTCTTTATTTGGTTAGCCAAACTGGTAGCTAACAATTCCCTGAATTGCTCTTCAAACTTTTTAAAATCTTCACTTGACATCTTTGATAGTTGATTCTTGTCAATTCACTTCAAATGTTCAGAATTCAAGGTGGATTTCATCACTTTAAATATAAAAATACCCACAAATTTACAAGGAGATAAGTCGTGGCTGGCAAACACGATAGGCGATTGCGAAATTGTGTCATTTACTCGGGACTCTTGAACTTTGATGGTCGAGGAATCCATTGTGATTCTCGGAGAGTATCACTCAAGACTTGCAAAGAACATGCTACAATTGCCATTGACTATCAGCTTAACTCTTAATCAGTTCCTTTTGATGTCTTTACTTCTCCGGGGAATTGAAGATACAGGTAACAGTATACTAAGAAATGTGTACAAACCATTCGGAAAATTTTCAGTTTATAAGTGAGCCCATAATAATTTTTTTTTTTAACTAAGATTTAGTTCAATTTGACACAATTTTTGCATAAATACACCAAAACCAACTGTTGAAATATGTCTAACCAAAACGAAAAATTACCAGGATTGTTATCAGATGCTGTGCTCAAGGCCTCAGAGCCAGTTCCAGAAGATTTCGTCGAAGTTAAAGGTATTGATTACTCTAAAGAAGAAAGTGTCAATATGAGAGCTAGAGATTTAATTAAAAGTATGAGAAATATGGGATTCCAAGCTTCATCTATGGGTGAAGGCTGTGAAATCATTGATGAAATGAGACAATGGAGAGGTGTTCATAGAGATACTTTAGAAGATCATGAAAAAACTGGTGAATTTGATGATGAAGGTTATCAAAAAACTACTGTGTTTATGGGTTATACTTCAAACTTAATCTCTTCAGGTTTACGTGATACTTTACGTCATTTAGTTCAACATAAACATGTTAGTGCTATTGTTGCTACTGCTGGTGGTATTGAAGAAGATATTATCAAATGTCTTGCACCAACATTTATGGGTGATTTTGCATTAAAAGGTTCAACTTTACGTGATAAAGGTATGAATCGTATTGGTAATTTATTAGTTCCAAATGATAATTACTGTAAATTTGAAGAATGGATTGTTCCAATCTTGGATACTTTATTACAAGAACAAACTGAAGCTGCTGAAAAATTAGGTAAAGATGCATTTGATGCTGATTCTCCAGCTGTTTTAACTCCATCAAAATTAATTGATAGATTAGGTAAAGAAATTAATGATGAAACTTCAGTCTTATATTGGGCTCATAAAAATAAAATCCCAATTTTCTGTCCTGCAATTACAGATGGTTCAATTGGTGATATGTTATTTTTCCATACTTTTAAAGCTTCTCCACAACAATTAAGATTAGATATAGTGGCTGATATTCGTAAAATCAATTCAATGTCAATGTCTGCATTCCGTGCTGGTATGATCATCTTAGGTGGTGGTTTAGTTAAACATCATATCTGTAATGCTTGTTTGATGAGAAATGGTGCTGATTATGCAGTTTATATTAACACTGGTCAAGAATTTGATGGTTCAGATGCTGGTGCAAGACCTGATGAAGCTGTTTCTTGGGGTAAGATTAAAGCTGATGCTCATTCTGTCAAAATCTATGCTGATGCTACTGTTGTTTTCCCATTAATTGTTGCTGCTACTTTTGCTAGTGGTCAATAACATCATGAATAAACCTTATAAAAATTACGAAATTGATAACAAATATAGAAGATAAATCCTCTAATTTTTGATGAACATAAATGATCATGTATATAAATAAATAAATATAATAAATAAGGGGAACCATGGGAACATATGATGATTCTTTAATAATAAATAAGTGTAGTTGTATGTAATCAATAATAAATAATAAATAACTTCATTTCAACCTGTTCTTTCTGAAACTTTAGTTTCCCATGGTTGAAATTTAGGTTTTGCAGTGTTATAAGGAACATAAGCTCCTGTAGTACCAGTATAATTTTGAGCATGAACTTTTGGAACAGGATAAGCTCTTTCAGTTTTCTCTTCACCTTGTAATTTATTTGGTGGAGTATCAGAACCATAAGCTAACCAATAATGCCAGCCAGGTTCAACTTGGGATACATCCCATCTCTGATTAGTTTCAGCATATTCAACCCATCTTGTACGTAAATGAATTTCTTTATCTAAATGAGTTTCATAAAAATGATTACCATGATCATCAATACCAACTAATGTTCCTGCTTTAGCATCACCAATAGAATTCATTTGTTTGGCGTATCTTTTCCATCCTGATAGTTTGATGTTTCTAAGTGTACGTGCGAGTGATGTGGACATCTTTCAATTCACAAACGATCCATACGAGTTTTGTAAATATATTAATGTGTACTTTAAATATTGTTTTTGATATTGTTTTTGAGATTTTGAGGAGGTTGCGTATAAAAAACTGGGGACCCCGGAATTGATATTTAAAATTAGTCGGAAATATAACCAGATTCTGATTACTTAATACAAGACTACTTTGGATCTTAATTAAAAACATACAAACATAAATTAAATAGTCAAGCAAAAAATCTATTGATATAGATCATTGCAATCAGATATAGTTATTAGATTTCAACCAGTCAGCAACAACTTCCTTATCTCTTGAAACCCAAGAAGAATTAGTTTTAATACCATCTAAAACTTGATCAAGAGATCTATGATAATCATGAGTATCTTTATCAGAGAAGAATTCTTTAATTTCATCATGAATTTCATCAGATGCATATTTACCTAATGTAAATTTGTAAAATCTATCATGAACCATTCTATTAACTTTCAAACGTTCTGTAATAGCTTCGAAATTTTCTTTCAAATAAGTCCAGAATTGTAATCTTGCTTTAGTGTTATTGGTCAATGGAATACTAACAAATGAGATATTCATGATTGGGATTTCTGGGTTCAAGATCAAACTTAAAGCTTTTTGAATCAAAACAGGGTTTGTAACAGTACCTAAAGCATTTAAGATAACTTCACTTGCATCAGTAGATTTTGAAGTTGAAATTAAACCATAAACAAAATCAAAATCTTCTTCAGTAGCATCAGGAGCTGAGATAACAGAAGAAATAACAATTCTTCTTAAACTTGGATCAATATCTTTACCTTCTTTTAAATTAGTGAATAATTTTTGTAATTCTTCAATAACTTGAGGAACACCAGCTGAAACACCAGCTGAAAGTAATTCAATTCTTAATTGTGTAGTTAAGAAACTTTCATTTTTAGCAGCTTCAAAACCAAGACTTAAAACAGCAGGTTCAACAATTTCATGAGTTAATTTTTTCAAACCATTTTGAACTTCTTGAGGTTGTTCATACCAAGCTGATCTTAATGTTTTCAAACTTGATAATAATTGTAACCAAACTGCATAATCAGTTTCACCTTTGAAAGCTTTGAAGAGATCAAGAGCTTTTGAAGTACTATAAATACCTGCAACTGATAAGACTGTAGTATCAGAGATAATACCAACTTTATCAGTATTTGATAATTTATCCAAATTGTTTATGATATTGTTAAAAGTAGCATCATCATATTTAACTCTAAAGAAGCCAACAGTATCTTTATTTAATTTCAAAAATGGTTCAATTGAAACATTTTCAATAGTTTCAGATTTGGATGTGATTGATAAATCTTTTGCGACAGTTTTACCATTATAAGCATTCAATGGAATCCACCAATTAGTTTGGTTTTCTTCTTCTTGAACATCACCAGTGGATAAAAATCTATTTTGAGTAACTTGAATGGATTTTTTAGTTAAATCAACTTGAACATCAACATATGGGAACCCAATCTTACGAATCCAAGGATCAGCAATACTAACAACATCAACACCTGAGGCTTCACCAATAGCTTTCCATAAATCTTTTGTTGTAGCATTACCATATTGATGAGTTTTCAAATAATTTGAAACACCTTTTAATAAAACATCAGTACCTAAAGTAGCAGCTAATTGTCTAATGATACTAGCACCTTTCAAATATGAAATAGCATCAAAAACTTGATCAATATCAGAAGCTGATTTGATTGGAACTTCAATTGGATGTGACCCTCTTAAAGCATCCAAATCAAGTGCAGTTTGTAATGAATTTGAAGTGAAAGTGGCAAAAGTTTCCCATTCTGGATATAATTTATCAACGGCTAAATAACCAACCCAAGTTGCGAAACCTTCATTTAACCATAATTCATCCCACCAATCCATAGTAACCAAGTTACCAAACCATTGATGAGCTAATTCATGTGAAACAACATAAGCAACTTTTTCTTTGTATTTAGAATCACTTGATTCTTCATCAAATAAAAGTGCAGTTTCTCTAAAAGTAACTAAAGCAGTGTTTTCCATGGCATTTGAACTGAAAGCTGGAATGGCAACCATATCTAATTTTGGTAAATAATAATCAATATCAAAAACTTCAGAAAAATAATCAACAACTTTTGTGGCAACTTGTAAAGCAAATTTACCTTTAGCAGATTCACCTTCAGCAGTATAAACTCTAATTGGGATTTTCTTTCCCGAATATGAACGTTCAGTGAATGATTCAACATAATCTAATTTACCGATAACCCAAGCCAAAAGATAAGTTGACATGATTGGAGTTTTTTGAAATTGAACTAATTTTAATCCACTAGCTTCAATTGCACCTTTTTTTTTACCATCATCTAAAACTTTTGAAGAAGCAACTGGTGTATTACTTAAAGCGGTATAGTCTTCAGCAACAGTTATTGAAAAAGTAAATGTAGCTTTTAAATTTGGTTCATCAAAACATGGGAATGCACCACGAGCTTCAGTAGCTTCAAATTGTGTTGATAAGATTAATTGTTCTTTACCATTCTTGTCAGTGTATGAAGATTTATAAAATGAGTTCATATCATGTCTTAATGGACCTGAATATAATATTGTTAAAAAGGCCTTAGAAGCAGGACCAGCTCTTAAAGTTTCAGATAATTTAAATGTTGCAATTTGAGCTTTATTATCGACAATAGTTTCAGTGATTTGAACAATTGATTCGGTCTTAGTAACAGAATATGCTAATTCAGCACTTTTGATTTGTAGGTCATTGACATTTAAAACAATTTCATTTGTATCTTCTTTAACGTCCAATTCAATTTTGACTTTCCCATCAAATGAGTTATTGTTAACATTGATATTACTGACATCCAAATCGTAATGAACTGGCTTAACGTGTGTTGGTAGCACGTCACGCTTAATCTCAGTGGCAGCACACATTGTTAAGCAGAATCTTTTGTGAAGTGAAGGAGATTTGAATTGATGACTCGCTGATTGATTAGTATTGAAAGAAGGAAGAAACTTTTTGTATTTCAACACGGCGAACAGCTTCTGACTTTCCTGCCTATTATTGAAAGAATAAGTGCGGAAAAATGTGCGTGTAACAGAAGAGCGTGGTAGTGGTAGAATCCGGAGTTGCACTGGGTTGCACAAGGGCAGACTGAGCATTTGGTGGGTGAGGTAAGCAGGGAATCCACTGTGTAGACAGTCTCTTTCTCTAGGTAGTTTACCAGGTTATTCCAGTCTGTTTCTATTCCCGAATCATGAATGGTTCTTCAAATTGTTTCGATGAAGGACATATTTTTTTAGTGACACTGGTTGTTGACAGGCGCGAAAACTGCTGATTTTTGGTCGTATAAGCTCTTCTTGAACAAAGAGAATGGGTTTAAATATCAACGATTTCCTCAGGAATTGAGTGCAATTGGGTGCTTTTAGTTGACACAGATACTGATACTCATGGTATACTATTCTGACCTTGTGGGAATTCCTAACACGGATAAGTCTCGCTGGAGATTGAGAACAGATGAATTAGGCCGTGAAACTTGGGATTATATAAACGAATCTGATATTGAATCTGATCCACAATCTGAATATGTTAAATACTTATTAGGAACAGATGACTACAATCCAAAACAATTACCAAAACCTGAGACCCCATATGATGCTGCTAGGAATGGTGCTACATTTTTAAAAACCCTTCAAGAAGATTGTGGTGTTTTTCCATGTCAATATAAAGGTCCAATGTTTATGACAATCGGTTATATTGCAACTTGTTATTTCACCAAAACTAAAATTCCTGAAGCTGAAAGAATTGAACTGGTAAGATATATTGTTAACACTGCACATCCAGTAGATGGTGGTTGGGGGTTACATAGTGTTGATAAATCCACATGTTTTGGTACTTCAATAAACTACGTTGCATTAAGATTATTAGGATTACCAGCAAATCATCCTGTTTGTCAAAGGGCAAGAAAGACTCTACATAGACTTGGTGGTGCTATTGCAAATCCACATTGGGGGAAAGCTTGGTTATCCGTGTTAAATTTATATAAATGGGAAGGTGTTAATCCAGCACCACCTGAATTATGGGCTTTACCTTATTCATTACCTATTCACCCTGGGAGATGGTGGGTTCATACAAGAGCCATTTATCTGCCATTAGGATATCTATCAGCTGGGAAAATACATTGTGAGTTAGATCCATTATTGGAAGCCATTAGATCAGAAATTTATGTCAAACCATTTGATTCAATTGATTTCACAAAACAAAGAAATAATGTTTGTGGTGTTGATTTATATTATCCACATACCAAACTATTAGATTTTGCAAATAATATACTTGTTGCATATGAAAAATATATTAGACCAAATTGGTTTTTGAAAAAAATTCAAAATTATACATTTGAATTAATTAAAAAGGAAATCGCCAATACAGATTATTTATGTATAGCACCAGTAAATGCTCATTTCAATGCTATTGTTACATATGTTGAGAAAGGTGGTGATTCATATGAATTCAAAAGATTTCAAGAACGTTTCAAAGATGTTATGTTTTTAGGACCTCAAGGGTTAACAGTGATGGGTACAAATGGTTCACAAGTTTGGGATACAGCATTTGCAGTTCAATATTTCTTTATGGCTGGATTAGATGAATTCCCAGAATATCATGATATGATTGAAAAAGGTTATAAATTTTTAGTAAGGTCACAATTCACAGAAGAATGTGTCCCTGGTAGTTTTAGAGACAAGAGAAAAGGTGCATGGCCATTTTCCACAAAGACTCAAGGTTATGTTGTTAGTGATTGTACTGCGGAAGCTTTGAAAGCTATTATTATGGTTAGAAATAGTCCACATTTCCAACATTTAAGGGATTTAATTAAAGAAGAAAATCTAAATGAAGGTATTGATGTTCTTTTATCATTACAAAATGTTGATTCTTTTGAATATGGATCTTTTGCAACTTATGAAAAAATTAAAGCAACTACATTATTAGAAAAATTAAATCCTGCTGAAGTTTTCGGGAATATTATGGTTGAATATCCTTATGTTGAATGTACAGATTCTTCAGTTTTAGGTTTAACATATTTCCGCAAATTTTCAAATTATAAACGTGATACTGTTACATTTGCCATTGATAGAGCCATTGATTATATTAAGAAAGCTCAACAAGAAGATGGATCATGGTATGGATGTTGGGGGATATGCTTCACATATGCATCAATGTTTGCTCTTGAAGCTTTAAATACTGTTGATGAAAATTATAAGAATTCTGAAGTTGTTCGTAAAGGTTGTGATTTCCTTGTTTCTCATCAAATGGAAGATGGTGGATGGGGTGAATCTATGAAATCTTGTGAAACTCATACATATGTTGATAGTGAACAAAGTTTAGTTGTTCAAACTGCATGGGTTGTTATTGGATTGATATTAGCAGATTATCCAAATAAACAAGTTATTGATAAAGGTATCAAAATATTAATGGAGCGTCAAAAGGAGACAGGTGAATGGTGTTTTGAGGATGTTGAAGGTGTTTTCAATCATTCTTGTGCTATTGAATATCCAAACTATAAATTCTTATTCCCAATTAAAGCACTTGGTCTCTATACAAAAAAATATGGTAATGTTCCATTAGAATTATAGAGAAACTATTATCAACTACAAAAAATAAGTACTATGAAATGAATATATAATATGCATATAGTTTTTTAATGTCAAAACTCTAATATTTTATCACTAGTTAATATTTGTACATCTGAACTTATTGGTCTAAAATGATCACTTGATATGTTGGATTCATATTTCATTCGTTTTGTAGATCTAGTTGAAATGATACTTGAATCCGTGAAGGGACTTGATGATCTTGGAGCTTCAAATATTTGAGTTTGCTCCTGTGTGATTCTTGTTAATGTATTGTTATTAGTGGATGTAAATGAATATTTATGAGTATTATCGTCAGATTGAATTTCATTAAATTCTGAACTTGGAGGTGGGAAATTAGCAGATGATGGACATGGCAAATATCTGGGTATACTTAGATCACCATCTTTATCTTTATCTTTAGTCTCTTCAATTCCCTCTGGTTTCTCCGTATCTAAATCTGTCTCGTTATTGAACTGTGGGATGGATATTGGTAATGAATTAGCCGCTGTGTTTGGATCTGGCGGCAATGGCATCATCAATGGGAACTGGAGTGAAATTCTTGCTTGTGAGGATTTCATGGTTTCCAATTCTTCATTCTTGTGTTTCTCCTTTCTTTTATCCCGTATCTTTGTAACAGCAGCATCAAACGACTCGTTCGTGAGTCTTTCCACCTTATCAAACTCTGTCTGATTCAAGCCAATGAACCTCAAGTTGCTCTTCTTGATCTGGTGATGTTCCAACCCATCGTACAAATCAATCCATTCGAGCTTTTCCACTTCACCCATATCTTCTTCCTGAACTGGTAAACAAAAGTATTAAAAAACAAATTCAAAGGATTCTAAGTTTCTTATATAAAGTTGGTGAAGTAGTGGCCCGTGTGAAAATGGAGTTTGAACTTTTTGACATGTACGGGCGAAAAGAAAAAAAATTAGCTGTTGATCAAAGAACGTTGGACATAAGCAGTGATCTAGAGATCTGGGACCACCGACTAAAAGAAATTGAGATGATGCTACGGAATCTGGTGACCAAAAGGGCTTCACAGATACTGTCGAAGCAAAGTCTGGCAACAAGATACATTTCTTCAAGCTCCATATTATTAGCTAAATATGATAAAAGTTCATTATATAGGAAACCAACAGACAGAGTTAAAAAAGTGAAAACTCCAGAAGAAGCTGCAAAGCTTCAAATAGAGGAAGATTTGAAATCAGATTCATGGATCGTTAGATGGGGTGCTAAAACTAGAACTAAAGAATTTCAAAAAAATATGACTTGGTATTATGTTGTTTGTTATATCTTATTTTTAGTATTTGGTTATAAATATATGAGTGGTGTTTTCAGTAAGGAAAAACAAGTTGAAGAAATTGGTAAAAAACAATTGGAAAACATAGCAAGTGAATATGATTTATTAAAATTAAAAGAATTAACTGGGAAATTAAGAAGAAGAGATGAATTAAAATTAGAAGAATATGAAAAATTGAAAAATCAAGGTATTGAAGATTTATCAGATGTTAAAGTTGATATTGAAAGTACAAACACTTCAAATAAAAATATCTTACCTGCAAGAGATACAACTTCTTTTTATGATGGTAAAGCTGAAGATTATGATTCTGATATCAATTGGGAAGAAAAAGCTGTTTTCATGGGTCGTAGAAGAAAATGGTTAATGAAACATTGTAATGGTGATGTTTTAGAAGTTGCATGTGGTACAGGTCGTAATGTTAAATATTTAGATATGACTCAAATTAAATCAATAACATTTTTAGATTCATCTTCTAAAATGATGGAAATTGCAAATAAAAAATTTAGAGAAGAATTCCCAACTTATAAAAATGCTGCATTTGTTGTTGGTAGAGCTGAAGATCTTGTTGATCTTGCATCAAATAAATCAAATAAAGATGAATTATTAGTTAAAGATATTGATGATCAAAAAATTAATGTTACAGATGCAAGTACCACTATTAAATATGATACTATTGTGGAAGCATTTGGTATTTGTTCACATGAAGATCCAGTCAAAGCTTTGAAAAATTTTGAAACTTTATTAAAACCAGGTGGTAGAATTGTCTTGTTAGAACATGGTAGAGGTGAATATGATTTCATTAATAATATTTTAGACAATAGAGCTGAAAGAAGATTAGAATCTTGGGGTTGTAGATGGAATTTAGATATTGGTGAAATTTTAGATGATTCTGGATTAGAAATTGCAGAAGAGAAAAGAACTCATCTTGGTACAACTTGGTGTATTGTGGCAAAGAGAAAAGATGATGCTAAAAAGAAGGAAGAAATTGGTTTTGTTGAAAAATATATTTCAAAAGGTTTCCAAGATCGTTTAAAATCAATGACAGGTAATGGACCAACTAATGATGAGCAAAAGAAATAGTTTTTTTTTCAAATTACTGAAAAACTCCATGCATTAATTAGATGTAAATAGAATCTATATAGAAATATTATGTAAATAATTGAACTTTTCTAATTCCCTCTGTATTTTTCAGCTGTTATTATACCTTGTCCAATAGTTTCCATAGTTTCAATATCAATTAAAGAACCAGAGTTTTCATAAGCCATACTTGCTTCATAAGTACTAATAATTCTTGATTCTGTAATACCTAATTCACAATGAGCTAAAATTTTTATACAATTTGAATATCTTGTAATTGTACTTCTTATACTTGAAGAAATTTGTTCATTTTGATCACTATAAATTTCCCATGAACTTTCTTCTTCTAATCTTGTAATTGATATTGAACCTTGACCTGGATTATATTGACCTTTAGAATTAACTGCACTTGCATTTTTCCCTATTGTGGATTGATTATTTGTTAAAAGATCATCAGTAGTTTTTCTTAACCAAATATAACCATTAACACCAATAATAATACTAACATTACCTGGTAATTGATGTGAATGATTTTTAGCTCTAACAATTAAAGAACTTGGAACTTTTAAAAAAATCCCATTTCTTAATTTCCCATATTTTAAAGATCTAGTATGTAATGAAGCTGAACCATCTTGAAATAAAGATTGAACTTCAGCATTTAATAAATCACCTTCTTTTAAGAAATTTCTCATTTGTAATTCATCACTTTCAGATTTTCTTCTTAAAACACCACCTGGTAAATTAACAGATCCCAACATTAATACAGCATCTTGCTTTGCACCTATGTCAACTTTCCATCTTCTTTGACCAACTTCTGTTATTCTCCCCACGACATGATCACCAGTTTCTGGTTGATATCTACCTCGTATTGGAGTAACACTTAATAATCTATTAACCCTACTTATAGTACCAGCAACTGAACTATATGTATCGTTTTCCAAATAATAAGTACCATGACCTCTCATCCAAATTGGATCATCTGTGACTAGTTCACCAGGTGTAACAACTGATTTTTTCAATCCATTTTCATCTGTTTGAACTTTTTGTTGTTCTTCATTATCTGATAATAAATCTATATCTGAATCTGAAGCATCAGCATCTTCATATGCAAATTGGTTTGACTTTGATATACTAAGGATTTCCATTGCTGCTTATTTTGTAATATAATTGGATTGTATATTATGGCCTAGATTCTTTATTAATCCAAAGTTGACAAAATGCTTTATTCCAAACACTTTAAATTAATATAAAGAAATACTCTATATATTTTTTATTTCATATCATCACCGGGTTACACATTGACTACAGCTCATCTGGTAAGGCACGCATACTTATAATGAAAACTATTTCAAATATAAATGACAGAAAGCAAAGAAAGAATACTTAATGTTTTTGAAGGAAATGATATTCAAAAGTTTAATAAGTCACTTGATAAAGTCTCCCAAGACATCTGTGGCCTCTTATCTTCAATTTGATCAAAAACTTCACCAATTTATTGAAAATAATTGTTCGCGAATTTGTTTATACCTATATTTGAAAAATTTAGCTCATCGCATCAAACAAATTATATAAGATATGACATGGATCTTGATCTAATTGATATTATACAATCATATAGATCTATATCAACTATATATGTTCATACGGTGTCCATTAACAGTCAGCAGAATATTAGGGACTAGAAACATATCCAAACAAGCACGCAAAATGGTTACACACAATTGTTCCCTAGATTTATCACCTCCAATTAATAGAGAAATGAAAGAATTGGATACAAGTTTCTTTAGAAAGGAATTTCCAGTTATTAGAGCTCGTTTTGATGATCCAAGAATAATTCAAAAATTCATAAGAAGTCATCCACAAGATGTTTTAAGTGGGAAAGGATTGCGTAATATTGTTAAAATTGGGGATTATACTGTTAGAGCTGTTTTACTTACAGATCGTTTAACAAAGATAAGTGATGCTTCCAAAATATTAAGTGAAAGTTGTTTAGAATATTTCAAAAAAGAACAAATTCCATTACAAAATCATACATTGGTTATTGATTATGATTTTTGGTCAACTGAAGAAATTCTTGGTGCTATATTACCAGAAGATTTATTAGATAATATACCATCAGGTTTTTCACAAACTGGTCATGTTGCACATTTAAATTTAAGAGATGAATATAAACCATATAAAAAGTTAATTGGTGAAGTTGTGTTATCCAAAAACCCAAGTATTGAAACTGTTGTTGATAAAGTTGATTCAATCGCAACTGAATATAGAACTTTTAAAATGGAAGTTTTAGCAGGTAAACCAGATTTATTAGTTACACATAAAGAACAAAATTGTATTTTCCAATTTGATTTTGAAAAAGTTTATTGGAATTCAAGATTACAAGCTGAACATGAACGTTTAGTTCAAATTTTCAAACCTGGTGAATTAGTTCTGGATGCAATGGCAGGTGTTGGACCTTTCACAGTACCAGCTGCTAAAAAAGGTGTTATTTCAATTGCAAATGATTTAAATCCTGATAGTTATCATTTCTTGAAGCAAAATATTGCTAAGAATAATGTATCAAATTTTATAAAACCATTCAATGATAATGGTCATGATTTTATTAAAAATTGTATGACATATATTGAACAATTTCATAAAGAAACTAATGGGATTATTAAAGTTGAAATTAAGAAACCAAAAACCAAGTCATCTTCATCATCATCATCATCAACTCCAGCAAATAAAAAACCAAGAACTCCAACTGAATATAAAGATATTTCAATTCCAAAATTCCCAAATCATTTTGTTATGAATTTACCAGATAGTGCAATTGAATTTGTTAATGATTATATTGGAATTTTTGCAAATCATGAAGAACTCAAATCATTACCAAATTTTGAATTACCAATGGTTCATGTTTATTGTTTCCAAAAATTTAGTCCTGATGAACCAGAACCAACTGAAAAAGAATTAGAATCAAGAGTTCGTGATAGAATTGTTGAAAAATTACAATATAATGATTTAAAAATCGATGATATTAATTTCAAATTGATTAGAAAAGTTTCACCAACAAAACCAATGTATCGTGCTTCATTTAGATTACCAGAAGAAGTTGCTTTCAAGAAAGTTTGAATCAGTTGCAATACATGTAAAGAAAAAGACAAAAATTGTATATAAATTGAAACAAAAATATATTATTATTAATGATTGACCACTTGAAGCTAGTAGGTTCTCGTTGTTTATATGTCTCCTTATACCTCTCAATAATTCAATTGACCTTTAATATTACTCCAAAAATCTTCAATAAATTTTTTTTGATCAGCTTCAGGAGCACCTCTAACAAACAAATAAACTCTACTATCAACAGGAGTGGTCCAGCCACCTTTATTACCACTAACAACTTTCCCACCAGTTTCTTCTAAAATGACCCAACCAGCAGCAACATCCCAACTTTGACATCCACCTTCCCAATAAGCATCTAATTGACCTGTAGCAGTATGAGAAATATTCATTGCAGCTGAACCAAAAGATCTAAATCCATGAATAAACCCATGATTACGACTTAATAAAGATTTAAAAGTTTCTAATTTAACATCAAAGATTTCACCTTCTCTATCAGAACCTGATTCTAAAGCAATGATTGAACTTTGTAAAGTTAATGGTTTTGATGATAAGTTTGGTAATGGTTCATTATTTAAAAATGCACCTTTACCCTTTATAGCACTATAAAGTAAATTTAAATGAGGATTGAAAATAACACCAACTTGAGGAATTTGATTCACAGTAAAACCTAATGAGATACAAGAATAAGGGAAATTATGAATAAAATTTGTAGTACCATCAATTGGATCAACAATAAAAGTTGGATCATCAGTTAATTTAGTTTCACCTTCAATAAAAGTTTCTTCACCAATGAATTTATAATTTGGATATTTTGCGAAAATCTTGGTAGAAACTGTCTTTTCAACTAATTTATCAATTGCTGTAACAAGATCAACTGAATTTTTTTTATCATCAAATGATTCTTTACCAGATTTTGATTTTATAATATCACCAGCTTCATGAGCAAGTTCAATTAAGAATTCTTTAACTTCTTCAAAATTGACGTTAGACATGATGTTTAGTTCTTTTATAAGTCAATTAAGTGTATATATAATCAACCAATATCCAATCAGTCTATAATACTCAGCTTAAATCCAGAAAAGGTCTTTAGAATTCTCAATATGTTAAAAATGATTTGTACTCATTTGTTATTTGTTATTAGGGAATGCCCATCCGCACACCACCAGCATATGATAGCCTCCGCGAATTCCAATAAACAAAACGTCATTTGTGCACCAATTTAAATTGAATATACTAATGATGATTGGCAAATGAGAGGGAAATAGTACCGAAATGATTTATTTATGCTTTATTTTGGTGACAATGGTTTCCCACCGTTTTAATTGGCTCATTTTGCGGCTATTTTTACTTGAAATGTCTGCTATTATGTCAGTTTTTAGTAATCGTAATGATATTGGAAAAGTTTCGCGTTACGCGTTTTTTCTTTCTCGTATAACCATTGAAAGAAAATATTGAAATATCAATAAAGTTGGTTTGATTTGATTGAAAGTATCAGATCAAAAGTATAAGATCAAAAGTATAAGATGAGCGCTACACCACAGGAATTATCTAGTGATTATGAAGATGCTGAGGAACAACAACAAGAACAAAGATTGGATTCAGTGAGTATATTATAAGTATTATGAATTACATTATACTAACATCATCAATTTAGCCTGAATATAGAATTGTAATCAAGATTGTGAGAGCTGCATTAGCATTAAACAATGCTAACATGGCAATAACTAAAGCAAATTTACAAAGACATGCTTGGGAAGATGTTAGTTTTGCAAAAGTTAATTTTAATAGTGCATTAAAACAAGCAAATGATTTATTAGAAGATACATTTGGATTATCAATTAGTGAATTACCAGTCAAAGCAGGGAAAAATAATAGTGATTCCAGCAAAAAGAAAGATAATAAACCTCAATCAAGTCAACAATATGTCTTGACTAATAAAATTGTTGATCCATATGCAAGATTTCAATTAGAAAGTCAATGGTTATCTAAGGCAAATTCATTATTTCAAAGTGAATTAATGGAAGAAAGACATGATTATAGAAATAATAAAGAAACATATCCAACTTTAACCACAGATAAGAATTTAGTATCAAATGGGTTAACATTAATGATTATTTCTATAATTATGGTTTCAAATAATCATATAAGTGAAGGTGAATTATTAACAATTTTAAATGAAAATTTTGGTATAAATACCAATACTCCATTAGAAATATTAAACATACCCATTTTAGATTTTTTTAAAATATTAGATAAACAAGAATATCTAATTAGAAGTTCATTAAAATCTGATAATGAAGAAATTGTGGAATATAGTATTGGTAGAAGATCCAAGATTGAATTTAATAAAGAAAGTTTTGTTGAATTTGCAAGAATTATTTATAATGAAGGTGATGATGAAAGTGATGAATTTTTGAATCGTGTTTATGCTACTATTGATTCAACTTTTGGGTCGGTTAAAGATGAATAAAGGTTGATTTGATCGTTTAAAATTGTATGTAGATGTAGTCAAATGGTCTAATCTTTCAATCATCCAATGTTCTAAGCTTCCATGGCCCCATGTTTCCATGCACTTCGTATAGGCAAAGAACCCTGGAACAATAGATTCAAGAAAGGATTATTTTACTTCTTATACATCAGCTTATCTATCACTATGAGATAAGCACAACCCATAAACCACACTGAATCGGAGTGAATCACAGTAAATCTACACCGTATAAACCAACAAGTCAACTTTCTATACCCAATTCCACTGTGGGAATCGATTCCCGTGGTCCGTTACTCTTCAAACAGACTCCCTTGTCCATCTACAAGCCATTCTTTTGTGTGTAAATCTGTAATTCTGCCATTCTCGTTTCTCGTTTGCACCTGTTTTTTTGTTTTTTTTTTCTTTCGTTTAAAAAAAATCAAAATCGCGTCAAAAATTTACTTTATAAAACTTGAACTTTTCAAATCAAAACAGGTGTCAAATCTTCTCTACAAGAACTTCAACTTCAACAAACTTCAAGAACCACTGGGAAAGACTTCAACAATGGCTCTCGATACCTTGGACTACTCTGTGCTCGTGGCGCTCGCTTTGGCCATCGCTGCCTACTTCACCAAAGGTCTTCTTTGGGCGGTTCCTGATGATGGGACAAAAGTTACTGCTACTTCAAGAGATATCGTACAAACTGTGGAAGAAAACAATAAACAATATTTGGTTATCTATGGTTCTCAAACTGGTACCACTGAAGATTATGCCAACAAGTTTGCTAAAGAATTGAAATCTAAATTCAAATTGAACGTTATGGTTGCTGATATTGAAGATTATGATTTTGATAGATTAAATGAATTACAAGTCCCAATTTCAATCTTTGTTGCAACTTATGGTGAAGGTGATTTCCCAGATTCTTCATTAAATTTTGAAGAACATTTATCTACTTTAGGTGAAGGTGATTTAGAAAACTTAAACTATACCTTATTTGGTCTTGGTAATACAACTTATGAATTTTATAATGCTGCTTCTCAAAAAACTCATAATTTCTTAAGTGGTGCAGGCGCTACATTAATTGGTGAATTTGGTAAAGGTGATGATGGTGCTGGTACTTTAGATGAAGATTATTTGAGTTGGAAAGAAGGTGTCTTGGATGTCTTGAAAGATTTCTTAAAATTAGATGAACATGAAGCTAAATTTGAACCATCTTTAACTTTATCAAGATTAGATCCTGGTGAATTCGATGAAGATAAATTATTCTTGGGTGAACCAGATCGTTCTTATTTAGATGGTAAAACTGATTTATCATTAGGTCCTTTCGATCATGCTCATCCTTATTTAGCACCAATTTCTTTCTCAAAAGAATTATTCAATTCAAAAGATAGATCATGTATTCATGCTGAATTTGATCTTTCTCAAACTAATTTACGTTATTCAACTGGTGATCATTTAGCTGTTTGGCCATCAAATTCAAATGAAAAATTAAAAGAATTCTTATCAATCACTAACTTAGATGATCAATTAGATCAAGTTGTTGATTTAAAACCTTTAGATTCAACTGTTGTTATCCCATTCCCAACTCCAACTACTGTTGGTGCTATTTTCCGTCATTATAAAGAAATTGGTGGTCCAGTTTCAAGACAAATCTTGTCAACATTAGGTCAATTTGCTCCATCTGAAAAAGCTAAATTAGAAACTGATAGATTAAGTAAAGATAAAGATGCTTTCGCTTCAGAAATTCATTCTAAGAAATATGATTTAGCTCAAGTCTTATCATTATTATCAAATGGTAGTAAATGGGAAATTCCATTAGAATTTTTAATTGAATCTTTACCACATTTACAACCACGTTATTATTCAATTTCTTCATCTTCATTATCTGAAAAAACTACTGTTCATATCACTGCTGTTGTTGAAGCTAGTGAAGAAAAAGATGGTAGATTAATCACAGGTGTTGCTACAAACTTGTTACGTAATATTGAAATTGCTCAAAATAATGAATCATCAAAACCATGGTTAAATTATGATTTAGAAGGTCCAAGAAAGAAATTTAGTAAAAATAAATTACCAGTTCATGTTCGTCGTTCAACTTTTAGATTACCATCAAATCCATCAACTCCAGTTATTATGATTGGTCCAGGTACTGGTGTTGCTCCATTCAGAGGTTTCATTAGAGATCGTGTTAAACAAGCTGAAAACGGTTCCCAAATTGGTAAGACTGTTTTATTCTATGGTTCTCGTAATTCAACTGAAGATTTCCTTTATAAAGAAGAATGGCCACAATATGCTAAAACTCTTGGTGAATCATTTGAATTAATTACTGCTTTTTCAAGAGAAACTTCTAAAAAAGTTTACGTTCAACATAAATTATTAGAACAAGCTGATGAAATTTTAAAATTAATTGATGCTGGTGCTTTCATTTATGTTTGTGGTGATGCTGCTAAAATGGCTAGAGATGTTAATAATGCTTTAATCGAAATCATTTCAAAAGGTAAAGGTTTAACTGAAGATCAAGCTCATGAAATTATTAGAAATTTCAAAACTTTGAATAAATATCAAGAAGATGTTTGGTAATCAATATAATATCAAGAGCATTATTTTTTAGACAATTCAGAACCCTACTTCTCTCGAAATTCATGTCAACTCATAGATATATAAAGATACATAATACAAATTAGAAATAATTAAAAAACTTAATAGAAAGAATGGGTTTATAAATAAAAGATTACGAACAAGTCATGAAGTTTTTAATAGTAATATATAAAGCTAATTTACAATTTTAATAATTAGTACGTCAGTACGTAGTTTGAAGAGATCGAAAACAGAAGCTGAAAATACATATATGTACTTGATTAAAATGACTATTTATACAAAACTATACTTTTAAATGCAAAGAGGATATATAACTTATTCATGAGACGAAATTGAATTAAAATTTTGTTATGTGTAGAGATATAATTGAAAAAATCAGTTTATTGTTCTTCACCACCAAATAAATTACCTAATGCACTATTTTCAGTGAATGGATCATTCATCATATCTGATTCTGCTTTTTTCTTTTTAGCAATTGATTCTAATTGAGCATTTCTGTTTTTTTTAAATTTTTCATCATCATGATCTTCATCTTTAACTTGTTGAATTAAATCTAAAACTGCATTTCTTTGTTCTTTTAAATTCTTAGATTCTGCTAATGCAGTTTCATATCTTGATATATGATCATCTGTTGCATTTGGTAAATAACTTTTCAAAACTGTAGACATATAATTACCTCTAACCCTTAAGTTAATATATAATGCTGTTAATAGATAACCTGCATCTGTATGAGCTTCACGATAGAAATCATCCATTAAGACATAAACTAATGATTTTGTTAAATTCTCACATAAAAATTTATCAACTTCATCATCTTTTAATAAAATATCATTTAAAACAGCTCTTAAAATTAACAAAACATTAAAAGAACTTCTTGAATCTTTAAGCATGATTATATGGCTTGTGAGGTTCAAGAATGGAGCAAGAACATCTTTATTAGAAAATAACAATTTACGAATTGCCTTTTGTGTATCAGTTAAAGATTTATAACCATATTGACCAACACAATCAACTAACAGTCTGATAGTAACATGAGTAACTTGTCTTAATAAATGTTCTTCCATCATTTCTTCAGAAAGTTGATCATCATTTTCATCAAATGTTAAACCTGATATGTAAACTTTTTCCCATTTATTAATTAATAATTCATCAAGGGTATTGAACATTTGAGGTAATAACTGACCCATAAAATCATTCACATTAGAAGGTGGACAATTTTTGATAACAGCTCTCAAACTAATATTTATCATATGCTTCCATGAATGTAATGTTATACCAACTTTTTCACCAGTAGCAGCTCTCCAAAATGTATTTGCAATATTTGGAATTGTATAAAATGTATCTTCTAATTGACAAATAGAAGAAATAGTCAAAAATACATATTCTCTTGTATATCTAACAATATGACCAACAGAATCAGCAAAATCTCTCAATGTATTCATTGCTTTTTCACTTTCTTCTAAGAAAGAATCTCTGGATTGGATAGAAACACCCATTTGCCAGAATCTTTCAACAGTTGAGTCTTTAACAAATGATTGAACAACATCTGGTAAACCTTTCCAGTTTTCAGGGTTATGATATGCTTGAATTTGGTATAATAATTGTAGAATATGAGGAACAATAGGTGTAACTCTTGGTGCCCAAAGTTTTAATAAGTTTTTATATTCAGGTGTATCATGTGGTAATTTTTCGATTGAATATTGAAGTAACAGTCTAGTTGATCTAGCTGGGAAAATGACAGGCCATCTATTTTTTAATTCTGCTTTTAGTTTTAAGCCTTCTTCATCCATTGGTGTATTAATTAAACTAGCACCAGGACTTATGTTTCTGGTTTTGAAATAGTCTGCAATTTTCACAATACCTAGTCTTTCCATGAACCATTGTAAATCACTTAAACCTTTCATTGTATCTGGATTTGTCCAAGCTGCAATCTCGGGTTCAACAATCTTCACGAATTTTTCATCTTTATTCTGTATAGAAGCTCTTTGAGAAACAACTAATAAAAATGCTTTGAAAGTAACAGCTTCTGTTGGTAAAAGTTTAGGTATCAAGCTTTCAATAACTCTTTCTAAGTCATCCAAAATATTTTTCAATCTATCTGGGATCAGGAATGCAATTCTATTTAGTTCAGTAGCACAACTTGTTCTCAAATCTTTAACGACATTTGTTTCATCATCATTGGCATTTTCAGGATATGGGAATGTTGATAAAGTAAGCAGTCTTTCAATGATTTTGAAAATCATATGATCTTTGAGTAAAGGAGTAAATTGAACAAAAGTTTGACCTAGTCTTTTCAGTAAAACAGGATCTTTTATTTCAACATTCAACAACTTCTCTGCTAATTCTTCAACTTGATGTAACAAAACTTCTAATCTTGCATCATAATCCGCATTACGGTAATAAATTTTCCATCTGACTATACCTCTAACTGATGCTTCCACAATTTCAATTTGAGACATCCCCAAAATGAAAGCTTCACCATGATAATCCAATTTTGGTGACGAAATGGCCTGGCTACCAATTTCTGAAGAAAAAAAATATCCTAAACGATTACTCAACCATTCAATACCAATGTCAAACTTGATACAAACAATTAACCTTATAATGTCATCAACTAATCTTTTGTACTGACTTAAAAATGAAAAAGTTTCTGATTGTGAATCGAAATCTAATTGCAAAAACTTTTGACTTATATGATCTTCATTAAAATCTCCATAGTTTAACAGTTTGGAAGCAGCAACTTCTAAAAGATCTGGTATAATACTATCAATGATTTGAATGGTATCATCTTCTCTCAACATATGACCCCAGAAGTTCAATGATATACCACTGATAGTTAGACTTGGGCTTGAAGTGGTGGACAATACTAATCTCAAATAAGCTGGAATATCTGACTCTATATCTTTCACTTTAGTTAAATGCTCACTTAAACCAACAATCATTTCAGTCAATTTCTTGGTGAATGCATAAATTTCATCATCGATGTCATCAGGATCATTTTGAATTGAATTATAAATATTGGCTAATAATTGAATACCTTCAGTTTTGAAAATGGAACCAACTATATGTTCTAAATCTTCATCTTCATTGAAACTTCTTGTAAATAAAATGTATAAACAATCAACCGATAAAATCTTTACTCTAATATTTGAGACGAGAACAGTATCTAATAATGATTTGAAAATCTGTGATTTTGTTAAAAGACTACTATAAGGCCAATTCAAACATGTTTTAAAAGTCTCTAAAACTTTAATGATAGTTCTTTCATCTCCATTCCTTATAGATTCATTCAAAAGTTCTTGCCATATCAAGAACCAACCTTCAGTTGTAGCTTTTGATTGTTCTAAATTAGCATTCTTTTCATAAATCTCATTCAGTAATGCGTTTGGTAAAAGAACTTGTGTACATAATGAATTCAATACCCCATTTCTTCTTGATGTGATAGAATCTTCAAGAACATAAACATCTTCAAATAATGTTCTATATATGATTAATGATAATTCTCTTGTATGTGGACCATTTTGAAATAATTTATAGATATCTTGATCCATAGAAGACCAACCTTCTGCAAAATCTCTTGAATTTGCCAATTCATCATCTTGAGAAGATAAATATGAACCCCAACATCTTTTAGCAACTGCAACCCACAAAAATGCTAATTTTTCTCTAAGATAATGAGGATCTTCTGGTAAAAGCTTTAATGAAAGATCAACAATCCAATTTCTAATTGCCAATTTTTTTTCTTGATCATAATTATCCCATTCTCTATTGATTGAGTTTTGTAATAAAGCTAAACCAAAATGACGAACAATTGCACTTTGAGTAGGCAATGCTAATTCATACCCCCATAATGGAGATTCTTCTTGTTTCTTAACTTGTTCTAAAAATGATTGGGCTTCTTGACGTTCAGAATTTGAAGTTCTTGGTGAATGGATCAGTTCAAGCGCGTTGACCAATTTCAACACAGCGTTATTGTCCATATTATACCTTTTTCTTTATATATGAAGTATTGATTCTATAATGCAATGATCACTTTTATGTATTATGTTATTGTTCTAATGATCTTGACCCAGGTGCAATCTCAATTGAAACCACAAATTATTCAAAGTTGAAAAAAACAAACTATGATTTATAAATAATACAATGATGACCCTGTTTAGTTCAAAAACAATATGAGATCAAAAGTTTCAACTCAATCTGTTGTTTAATACTCGATGTTGACGATTGGGATTATTGTGAGAGCGTGGGAAAGTGTAAACACAGGAAAAAAAACCTTTCACGCTAAGCAAAAACTGGAAATTCTTCACCAAACTTTCAACAAAGTTGCAATTGAGTCCTAAGATTGAACAAATGACTTGAAGCGCCCTGTCTGAACGGTTTGAATTGGGTTCAACTGGGTTCTTTTCAGTGTCTCAGCCTTATCAAAACCTGTGTTTATGTTCGCATTTTGGAAGTTTTTTAATCGTTTTCTCTTTTGGTGATTTCCCAAGATTTTTCGTTTCTAACCAAAACACAGAAATTCGCGGAAAATTATAACTACCTACAACTTTTATACTTGAACTAGAAATAATATTAAAAAATAAACATGCTATTGATAAAAATGCCATATATATATAGTGTACAGGTTGGGAGGGTGAATGAATCACAAATAGAATTTTCTTTTGTCTCTGTCCATATCTGGTCTGTGTTCCCATTCGATTTCGTTCTTGATACCTTTTTGAACTCTTCTTAATTTTAATGTAAATTGAGGTCCTAATTCTTGTAAACCAACTTTTTCTTCATTTCTAAATACATAACGATGTCTTCTGAAAAATATGAAATCTCTTTGATTGTGTAAAGTAACAACATTTCTACCTTCAAATTCAGGTTTTTGTGGGAATAATGATTGAAATAATCTACCAACTGTTTGACCTAATCTTGTAGAAAAATTATTTAAAACTAATTCTGGAATATGATCAGTTGCTGTACCATGACCTTGAATTTTTTTACCATTAACTAATGAAGTTATTGAAAAATAAAAAGTTGGACCTTCAGGTAAATGAATAAATGTTATACCATTAACATTTTTTTTATCTTCATTTATTACAATTAAATCAGTAAATCCTCTATTTGTACAATATCCTGAAATATCCTTCATTGAATATTCTCTTTTACGTTTAACAAATGTAACATTTGGTAAAGCATCCATAAGCATATCAGCAAATTCATATGCAGCTTTTCTTGCATTAGCATTTGTAGTTAATAAAATTTTTGGTTCACGACCATCAAAATATGAATCAAAATCATCTTCACCTTCTCTTTCTTGTCCCACTGTTTCATCATAAACTCTTTTGGATTCAATAGTTTCTGGTACATTATTTGCTAATCTTTCTTGTTTTAATTCTGGATTGGCTCTTTCTTCTTTAGCTCTTTCAGCTCTTAATTTATGACGAGCTTTATTTTTTTCTTGTTTAATTCTTTGAAAGAGTTTTTGTCTCTTATCCTTATTTTTGATCTTTATTCTCTCTTCAGGTGCCATCTTGAAGGAGTGTGAAAAGTAAGTAATATCAAATCACAAAGCTTTAAATCCTTTAATCAAAAGATAAAGTGTTTACTTATAATGATGATAATTTTTTTCTTAATCCAATTCCGGAGATGAGCCCTCGGTTCTGGTCATGTGAATTTCGCGTGATATGTGCTGTGCTTATCAAAACGCTCCGAAACGTATATTATCTTACTTTTGAATATTTTAAACACTAAGATTTATTTTTGAGTAGAAGTTATCATCGATGAATAATGGATTGTTTGGAATCTAAGGACTGGATTTTCTTCAATAAGGGAAAAGCCAATACATTATATCGTTATATTGGAAATGATTCGCAATTCAAAGATAAACTCCTAAGATTAAGACAATCCAATCAAACAATAACATCAAAACAAGTTTATGAGTACATTGAAGATGTAGTAAGGCCTAAATTGAATCAAGTTATTGAATGTGATCTTGTTAAAGTTGATTTCCAAGTTGATGGGCTGCTAAATGATGGATTTGGGCTCTTGATACCTAATTTAATCCCATTAGATTCCAAAATTATAAAGAAGGAAAAGTACTTCACAACATTTGAAAATTCAAATCAATTCATCTTGGAATTGAAACCTAAATGGCTTGATATTGGTAGAGCTTGTCGAAATTGTGCACATCATAGATATAAACATCATGAAGAACCAAATTTTTGTGCTTTAGATTTACTAGATTTTGACAAGATTCAAAATGCAGTTGAAATTATAACGGATGATCATAATGTTCAAAATACATTGATTAATTATTTCCAAAGTGAAGAAAATATACTGTCCAAGATTTTAAAACTTCAAGAGATTAAGAAATATGACATTTCCAAAATAAAAAAGGAATCAGATATCACACCAGATTTTACATTTTCAATGACGATGAGAGATGTTTCTGTATTCATAATTATTCAAGATCAAAAAGTTTCGAAAATTGTCGTCACAGATACAGATCCTAAATCAACTACAAAATGGAAACATTGGGTATCAACAGAACAAACATTAATTGATAATGGTTTCTATAAGTAAGAAGTTGTCTTTAACATATCATTGAATTTCTTCAACTTCAATTGTCCCATTAACACATAATTCACCTTGGGAATTCTCAATCCATACACTAAACTTATTATGAGAATCCTCAGATAATGCAAGTTTCAAAGTTTCATTGGCAAATAATGGAGCAATATTCTTATATTGAAAAGATTTTATAATTAATCCCCCAAATAATGAATCAACCCATTCTAATAATAACGTTATTGAAAGTGGACCATGAACTAATGTTGTTGGATAACCTTCTTGTTTAGCATATGTTTTATTATAATGTATTTTATGGGAATTGAAAGTTAAACCTGAATACCTTAAAAGTAATGTATCCGTAGGTTTTAATTCATGTGTATATAATGGAATCTTGTTTGAATATTGAGGTTCTAATCTCTTGTATAAATCTGTTGTATATGCTAATGTTCTTTTTTCTATCAATGATATATCACCTTGTGATATAACTTCTCTTTCTGTAGTTATTATATGATTATTTCCAAGTTTTTTAGATGCTAATATTGATTCAACACAGACAGATTCTTGATTATATTCAATTGGTTTGATGAAATCTAGTTTCCCACCAGCCCATAACCTCCTCTTGAATTGGAAATCATTAGGTTCTTGATGTGAATCATATCCATCTTTTGATAATTCTGTTTCTTCATGTTTTGGATTGAAATATAATAAATGATACCCATTTGGTAAGAATTTGCCTAGAGGTTTCTGAACATTGAAATAAGAATATAAACTAGCTTTCAAGTATTGAGAATGTGTAGAGGACAATTTGTCCATCAATATCCATTTACGAGTTGACATTTTAAGTTGTAGTTGAACTTTATTCAATTAAAAGATATCAACAACGGTATACCGTGAAACCGGTACCATATTAAAATCAATGTAATTCGCGGTGGACGTCATATATTTGCTATGTTTTTGTTTACATTCTTCAAAACATGAATAATGAAGGTACGCTATAGCTACGATTATCTATCAGATATCACATAATGACTGCTCTCGATACGTCATACTGGTGGAATGCCAAAGTTGTTTAGTTAAAGGATTGAATTGAACCAAGATTATTGTTTTGATGTCACAATATGCTCACGGTAATATTTTAAATTGAAGGTATATCATGTTCATGTTCATTAACGAAACAGATGCATTATTGGAGAGAATCTTAGGCTATAGTAAAGATCCCCAAAGTTCTATTCTGGTTCACAAAATTGGAGATCATATCAAAGATACATGTCAAGTTATTATCAATACACCGATCTCCACAACTCTAGATCTCAACTCTCCTAAGAGAGAACAAGTATTAGCACTTCTTAATCTTCCAACTTCTGTCAGTGATGCTAAAGATCAAATTGATGGTGATTGTATCCAAGAAATTCAATATGAAAATAATTTCACAATTCTAAAGGTAAGTGATCATGGATCCAGATGTGATCGAGCTCGAAATTTTGTCTTCCTATAATCTCACCGGTTCTAACATGATGATTTAGAATTATACATATATTGTCGCTTTAGCAATAACTTGTGCAAAAGGTATCAAACTATTAACAAAGTTCATTGGGGATACAATCTCACCAATTGAAATGATACAACTTTGTGACAATATGATTGACTTGTTTCCTCAATTTTTCGCTATTAACAATTATAATTTATACAATTCAAGAAGTGTGGTATTCCTTCTTCTACAAGAATCTTTTTATCAAGTTCAAACCAGAGCTTGTGCAATTATCAGAAATCAACAAAACTTTTGTTGTGACAATAATAAAGTATCTATTAATTATGAACATGGTATTACTTCAAAAATGAACCAATGTTTGAAAAAGTTGATTACACCATTCGAAAACTTAAATCATCTTTATTTTGAAGGTCAAGCTGGTAAAAGAAATAAAAAATACATGAAGCTTTTCGGATCATTGCAGGAAGAATCTATTTATTTGGGTATTATTGAAGGTGTTGAGTCAAAAAGATCGGATCTCTTCAAAACAGATATCGATGAATTTACTGATAACAATGCTGACTTTCAAGTCTTCAATATATTCAAAAAGACTTTTGAAAGTTTACAAATTGAGAACATTCAAGATCAACTAGAGGAACTTGTGCGTTTGGAAGCTATTGGTTTTTTTTCGAAAAAAGTTACTACTAATGGTATTTACTATTCATCCACAATGGGGTCAATGAAAATTAAAAGTTTACAACACAAACACAGAATTCCTAGTATTATAATGCACATTCTCATTACAAAGACGTTTGAAGAAAATCCGTCAATCTTGAAGCCAGGATCAACAGTTAACCCTCTCTAACGTCCAATTAGCACCGGTTAAATGAATTTTTTTTGTCTTTAATAGTATAAAATATAGTAGAATAGTAGCACTCTTTTCAAATAATAACAGGTTGAATTGGTTAAAATCTGAGCTTTCTTTGTATTTCCCAGAGTACAATGATATCGGTTTATCGGTTAAATATGGCCTTTCCCGGATTTTGTTCCTGTTTTGGTCAGGCTCCTCTGATTACCTTAAAAAGAAAATATGGGCCTAATCTTTTTCCACTGATTATTATTAATGACTCAAAATTAAACTGTTTGAATACATCTTGAAATTAAAGGAATCTCCAATGTTCAAAAGGTCTTTATGGGTTACTGACTATACATATATAATAGATAAGTGAGAATAATCATTATAATTACTTTTCTTAAGCTCTTGAGAAAAATATAGAAATATCAATAGTACTTACTATCTTGTCATTTAACTGGGGAATCTGAGAACTTATTTCAAACTTCATTTACATATACATGATAATAATCAAGGGATCAAATTCATTCTAATCTTTCAATAGCTCAAGATTATCATGATCAACAATTCAAAATCAAACGATAGTGATTCTTTCATTTCATTGTCTTCATATGAAGATAATCAGGGCCTTAACCCAATACCTTTAAATCAAATAACAAATGATCAAAATGAACTTCAACCATCTCAACAACCCAAGGAAAAAGATACTGAAAGTATAACATCAACAAATAGGCTTCGTTCACGATCAATAAGGAAAACTACCCCTTCGCTATTATCAAAGACAACAAGTCGGAAAAGCTTTCATACTGAAGGTGAAGAGCTAGATGATGTATTAACAAGACATTTTGATCTTGGTGATGCGATTCAGTTAGATGCAGAATCTCATGAACCAATCAATCCAAACCATGCAAAAATTCTTAAAGAATATAATCAAGATGATGATCATAATGACCATGATCATGATTCTAATTATTCAAATGAAGACTTAGAATTAAATAGGCCAACTTCAAAAGTGGAAAGAATTTTTACAAACAAATCAACAGGTGAAATTGATTTACCACCAGATGGAGGATATGGATGGGTTTGTGTAGCTTGTGTGGTGGCAATTCAAGCATGTACTTGGGGTAGTAATGCAGGATTTGGTGTCTTTTTACAATACTATTTAGATAATGATGTTTTCCCCGGTGCAACTCATATGGATTTTGCAATTATAGCTGGTCTTATCGTATTTTCTGCTCAGGTTTTAGCACCATTATCAATAATTTGTATGAAATTATTTGGTTTCAAATTAACAATGTCAATTGCATGTTGTACACATCTTATAGGTTATATATTAGCTTCATTTGCTACAAAGATTTGGCATTTATATGTTTGTCAAGGTGTTATTGTCGGTGGATCATATTCATTTTTATTTGTACCTGCTAATATTGTTGTGCCTGGCTGGTTTTTGAAGAAAAGAGGTTTAGCAACTGGTATTTGCTTTGGTGGTACAGGTCTTGGTGGTGTTATATTTTCGGTTGGTGTTAATGCAACTATCAAGAAAACTGGTACCCAGGTATGGGCATTAAGAATGGTTGGTATTGTAACATGTTTTTTAACAACTTTATCAATTATTTTCATTAAACCAAGAACTCCATTACAAAAAGATTCAATAACTTATCGAAACTTTATGAAAAATTCCAAAATTATGTTTAATCCAAAAGTTTTGAAACATAAATCACTATGGTATATATCAATATGGTTTGCATTATGTCTTATTGGTTACAATATGGTTATTTTTTCATATTCAACTTATGCAACAACAATTGGGTTATCACCAAATCAAGCTTCAACTTTAACAGCTTTAATAAATACAGGACAAATCTTTGGTAGACCCTTTTTAGGATTTGTTGCAGATAGATATGTTGGTCGTGTAACTTATCCAATGGTGCTTGATATAGTATTGGCAATTCTAATACTAGGATTC